TATTTAGCATATTTATTGCAAAATCTCATTTTTCTGCTTTAGTGCTGCAACAAGGTTTTATTAATAAGAAATTATTATACCTTTTGTTTTACTACAGCATCAGTACGCTTCCTGTGCACAGATTATTAAGGATGCTTGTTTCAGCTGTGAGATTAGACGATAGGATCAATGAATAAATAAGTTGTCACACACTCCATGGAAACTTTCAGAGAATCCACAAATAGTGGCTTTCAAATGATTTGGTTACTTTTTGCAAGTTTAGAAAAGAAGCAGATGAGACAGCATGTCTGATAAGTTAGTTTTTCATCTGATGATATTAGAACATGTCAGTGATGTCTGAGGTGTTTTTTCAAACACTGTATAACTACTCCTCCTTGAACCGTCACCTTATCGTGGTGGAGGAGTTTGAGTGCCCTAATGATCCTAGGAGCTATGTTATTTGGGGCACTTTGTGCCCCTGGTAGGGTCTCCCGTGACAAATTGGTCTTAGGTGAAGGGTGAGACAAAGAACGGTTCACAGGATCTTTCATGGAGGTAAAGTCAAAGAGTCGGAGTACCCGGCCCGGAGGGTTACCAGGGTCCCACCCTGGAGCCAGGCCTGGGGTTGGGGCCCGTGAGCGAGCGCCTGGTGGCCGGGCTTTCGCCCATGGGGCCCGGCCGGGCCGAGCCCGAACCGGATACATGGGCTCATCCGACTGTGGACCCACCACCCGCAGGAGGAACATGAAGGGTCCGGTGCAATGTGGATAGGGTGGCAGACCAAGGCGGGAGCCTTGGCGGTCCGATCCCTGGACAAGAAAACTGGTTTTTGGGACATGGAACGTCACCTCGCTGGCGGGGGAAGGAGCTTGTGTCAATGTCTTTACAACAATCCTAATACTAAGCAAGCATTTAGCGACAGTAGAGAGGAAAACTCCCTTTTAACTCATTCGCTGCCAGCGTTTCTCACCGTTTTTACTGTTTTTTTAAGAGTCACAGAACGTTGCGCGCCAGGATGATGTCAACGCCAAAACAACCAAAACAAAGAGGAGACTCACCTCTTACAGGTAGAGTCCACGTGTTTCGAGCGTTATCCGTTCTTTCATAATCTGTTGTAGAATTGTGATCGGTAGACGCTTTTCTGGTTCGTGCCTCACCTTTTTTTACAGGAACGGCCCAAAACAATCTCCTGACACATGGATGTTCTGCTTCCTGATCATGTGACATGTGACATATGTGGATGAAGATTGGCTTCAGAGCTGAGATGTTTGTTGTCTCAGTGCGGGGGTTCGTTCCACAGTGGCGTGTCCAGATCTTTTAAAATGGGGTGGCCCAGGTGAGGCACAACTTTGTGCATGGGTGGCACCAATGGTTATGTTTTTTTTGTTTTACCCCCAAGCCTTTTGTGGACAATGAAAAGCCTATTTAAAGGTAAATTAGTGTGGTGGCACCTGGGGTGGCCAATCAGATTCCAAGGGTGGCATGTGCTACCCCAGGCCACTCCCTGGACACGCCCCTGTCGTTCCGATGCCCAAACAGTAAAAAAATTCTAAGGACGACTTTAGTCGTCAATGGCAGTGAATGAGTTAACAGGAAGAAACCTCCAGAGGACCCTGGCTCAGTATAAGCAGCCATCCACCACGACTCACTGGGGATCGAGCACACACACACACACACACACACACACACACACACACACACACACACACACACACACACACACACACAACATATATACCAAGAAGTAATTTTATGGTTACACTGTGATTTCTTAGTAAATATTCTATTTGGTGAGAGATAAACTTTATGTATTTATCCTAGTGAATCTACAATTAAACGGGTAAACTAGTAGTAGCACATTCAATATCAAAGAAAGTAAAATGTTATTATGAGGGGAGGGAGAATGTTAAAGTGGTTAGCAACAGTGTTCAAGCCGATGGCCCCCTCCATGAGGGCACCACAGCTCAGCAGAACATCATTATAGCTTATTTTGGGGAGAAAAAACACCTAGAGGAAAAATAAAGTTAACAGCTGAAATAGCATGAAATAATACAGTTAAAGAACAAATTGTAGGAGAAAGTAGCAGAGTGTGGAAAGTGGTCAGTGTGTCCTCCAGCAGTCTAAGCCTGTCAGGATAACTACAGAGATAACTCTGAATAACCTAGCCTTTTAGATGGAGGCATGTTGGTAAAATAAATTTGGCAGTATGTTTTGTAACTAGAGATTTGTTTATAAAACCATTTGATGCAATCTGTGCCAAGTCTACGCACCCTTTGTGAGGAAATTTTCGTGCGATCCAGGGGTTCAAGAGGTCGTGATGGACACTGCCAGTGGAGTAAACCTCTCTGTATCAGGAACCCGTAGATTAGCTCCTATAGGACCTGTCTAGTCTGAGATCATTCCAGGTGATGACAGGAGGCTGGAATGCTTGTTTGCATCCAAAGCTGTTTGTTGGCTCTTAGAAGAGCCATTTTGTCTGATATCACCCGTAGCATTGCAGAGAGACTTTGACTTGATGTCAAAGGAGAAGATGGTTTCAAAATGCCTTTTTCCCGAATTAGCCGATTTGAGAGTCAGTGAGAAACGGAATTAATCAGGAAGTAATTCCTGTTTTATTAAAACCCATTGTTTACACATTTGGCAAATCAGGATTTGACACATTTAATGGCTTTACCAAAATGCTTCAGAAGTCACTCCTTCCTTCAGATACAAAGATGGTTAATTCTTTGTGTGAATGAGAATGTTTTAAACACTTATGTGAAGTGGATGTTAAACATTACTAATTATCTTATTATAATGTGTATGAGTACTGATAAGAGTAACATGTTAAATCAACACATATGGTTCTGGAGTAGTTAAGATCTGAACTGGATTGTTGCAGGAACAATATTCATTTTAAAGCTGTCATTGATTAAAGCACAGATTATTCAAACATTTGATTTAACATCTTGTTCATTCAACACATTTGATTATTTCAACTTATAAGTGGTAAAGTCTTTTGTAATTCAAGATGACCTTTATTCAGAGCAGGAGTCTCCAAGAGGCCTTGAGCAAAGATGTTATGGCTTCTTTGGCTAGTTGCACGTCGTACACTTGTTTTTCTTTCTTGGAGGCCAGACAGATAATGTGTTTGTGTCTGTGAATGAAAGGTTACTTTCTGGTCAATTTGCTGGTGAAAATTTGACCACTGGTACGTTACACAGGGCAAGGGAGAGCCGTCTTTACCGACAGTGTTCTCCACTGTACACTCCACCTCCCTCTACTTCCCCACTTGTCCAGATCTGGGCTAACATCAGATTTTAACCATAGGCCCTATCAAATAAAAATGTTTTAAGCCTAGTCTTAAAAGTAGACAAGGTGTCTGCCTCACGGACTAAAGCTGGGAGCTGGTTCCACAAGAGAGGAGCCTGATAGCTAAAAGATCTGCCTCCCGTCCTATTTTCATTTCTGAGAACAACCAGTAAATCTGCAGTGTGAGAGCAAAGTGCTCCGTATACATAACTTATGGAACAATGAGATCACTGATGTATGATGGAGCTTGATTATTAAGAGCTTTATATGCAAGAAGGATGATCTTAAAATCTATTCTGAATTAAACAGACAGCCACTGTAGGGAAGCTAAGACAGGAGAAATATGATCTCTCTTTTTAATTTTCATCAGAACTATAGCTGCAGCATTTTGGACAAGCTGAATACCTTTAACTACATTCTGTGGACTTCCTGAGAGTAATAAATTACAGTAATCCAGTCGATGTAATAAATGCATGTTATGGGAAACTCAAAAAAAATTAGAAAAAGATGTGTGTTGAAATCAGAAAAGCTAGGTCTTGGATCTTTCTTTCTTTTAAGTGTAATGAAAACAAACATTATTAGCCCCCCCAAAAAAATTGAGTTACTGTGGAATAAAAATGTATGAAAGAGAACTGTTCTACATCAAAAGAGATGCAGAATTAACAGTACTTATCCACCTCGTTTAGCTCCTGACCCAAAACACCCAGCGCTGTTGACCTAGAAACATGGCGACAGGATGTATGAGGCTCTGCCTGGGACCACTTCCTCTTTGCTCTCAATCACATTTAGAAAAAGCCGTCCGATTTAGGAGTTTAGCACCATGCCAAATAGTTGTAGATTACCGGCTTCTAAAATAGGAGAAATGGGTTGTGTGTGTTTGTGTTCATGTTATTCAGCATTTGTGAGAACTAAGGATGCAGAGTTTGACCCAGAAAGATAAACTGTTCACCTAAGGTACGGAATTTGGTTTTGGATCAACATATAAATATGAGTTAACATATTAATACTAATACTATTAATACTACTAATACTATAAATAATAATAACAATAATAACAATAATAATAATAATAATAATAATAATAATAATAATAATAATAATAATAATAATACTTACATAATATTACTTATTTTGAGCTGCACAGAAGCTAAACTTACCTTCGGACCTGCAGGGAACTAATTAAAGTTAGCTCCATCTGTCCGCTGATCCAGACAAGGGTCAGAGGTTAGGTCCCTCTCTGTGGTGATGGTTGGATTTCACATCTCAAACGCCATTAGATGGATGTCATTAAGCTGATTTGAAATGTAGGCCAACAGTTCTAAAAGAACAACATCAAAAGGAGCAACAAACACGGAAACGTGGAAATTATTTTTCCTCCACTCAGCTGATCATTATAAAAATATGTGTGTACTTGCAGTTAAGATGTAAACTAAGAATAGAGGTTGCTGTTAATATTATAAAATGATGGGATTTGCATTCATAAAAGCTGAAAAGAAACAATAAACTGCAGTGGTGCAACAAGTCCTACACTGCCCCCATGTGGTGAAAGTTCAACCCTCATCAAAACTATTTTAATGCCCAAATCCCGTCTCTTATGTTTGATTCCAAAACAACTTGAATCATGAAAAATCACGACGTTCAAAACATGAAAACTGAGGAGATCTGGTGCCTCGGTGTTAGAGTGGGTGATGATGTGGATGGCACAGGGAGAAACAGAATGACAGCTGAAGTGAGTCAGATCTATTTTTATTCAACCCCATGCTTCTGTGGAGAAAAAAAACAGAGCCAGACATGTCATACGTGTCTCATGTCAACATTTGAGAAGACAAATCTGAAATAAAAAGCTTTTTTCCCCCCTAAAAATGACTACTAAAACACTCTCAAACAACAACACTTTAAAAGCCTAAAACCTATATGAGTGTTAATAAAATAACTAACTTAGTTTGTTAGAATCTGATAGAAACAGGAAGTCAGTACAATCTGCCTCTGACACACATCAGACCATTCCAGCTCTATTTACCCTTTTCAATAATCCACTGCTTTCTCCTAAAACAGTCTTACCATGGCACATCCTCCATTCTTCAGCTCCAAAATCAATAGTTAAAGAACAATTCTTCCATTGTCAGTCTGTAACTTTCCCAAACTTAATTTCTGTCTCCAGACACAATGTTCCTGTTAAATAATGCTAAACCATGGGTAAATGAGATTCAATACGAAAAGTGAGAACAATATTTATGGCTCCTATAATGAAACTGATATAAGGCACCATTCCATAATAATACTAATACTAATACTACTACTACTAATAATAATAATAATAGAAACTATACTGGCTGTCTGGAGTTTTGGACAGTTATAAAAATGAGTAAAGTTAGTGAGATTATTTGTAACTAAAGGCATTCTAACAAAAGTGGCTGCCAACACGTTTAAATATTAATATATATTGGAGTTGATTTCCTCTGTCCAGATGAAGATCCATTTAGTGGGAAGTGGACCCAGGACGCCATACGCCAGGCTGCAGACCCAGGTTGGAAGTGCTGAACCGAGGCTTGGGGACCCTGGTGGGCTGAGGGGTGCTGGATCCCTGCTTAGGCAGATTACTTGGGCCCAGAGGACTGAGATCTGGGGCACTTTTAAAATAACAGTTGGTCTGTGAAGCAGCTGCGGACTGGGGGAATGTAGGAGGAGAGGAGAAGGTAGGGAGCTGAGGGAGCGGGGCAGTGGGGACAGGAGGAACTGGAGATGACATGGGGGAGGAGGTCCACTGAGGAAGGTAAGGCTGGGGTGAAGGATGATGGTTGTGGTAAGGAGTGGTATCAGTGGTGGGTGAAGAGAACATAGCATCAGAGTACCTAAGCGGTTCTCCGAGTGTTGTAGCTGAACGAGGTGCAATCACTTTAGTTGTGGGTCCCGTGGCTTTAGGTGGAGGTGTAGAGAATCGCTTTACCTCACAGACTCGAGCTGTCTTCTGAGGACCACCTCTCTGCTGATTAGGGATGGAGGTATCCTGAGGAACCCCACCTCCATAGCTGAACAGGGAGGAGTTGAGCTGGTATGGCTGGTGGCTCATTATGTCCATGGGTTTAATGTCTGCTTTATGCCCTTTATATGCGGTTGTCTTAGATTTCTTTACTTCAGGTTTCTTCTGGGCCTTTAGAGGACAGGAAGGTGAGAGGAGGGGGTTGTAGTTGATGGGGGGTGGAGCACGGATGTTAGGTGAGTACTTCCAGGTGGCGGGGAGGGAAGGAGTGGGTGAGGGCTCCCTGGTCTGAGCAGGCGAGTAAGGTGCTGCAGCAGCAGATGGAGATCTCTCCACAATGTATCTATCCATCCGGTTCTGTCTGCGGGCAAACAGTTGGCCTCCTTTTCCTGCAAGCTGCAGTACCTGGGGAGACTGTGGTTTGGGAGCAACAGGAGGTGGCCGGTGTCCTCGCTGAGCCTGCTGAGCCTGCATAAAGTTACAGGCCTCAGCCCCAAGCCTCAGCCAGTCCTCTTCCGGCCCAGACTCATGACCAGTCTCTGCACTTGGTGCAGCAGACTCAACGCATGGGGCTCTTTCAAAGCCGCCATCCATGTTCTGCACCATCGACATCAAGTCTGGGTTTGGAGAGACATCTTTGCTTTTGAGCGCACTAAACATGGGCTTCTTGTTGCTACAGCGGTGGGCATTGTGAAGGATGCCGGTGCGAGCAGCGGGAACGGAAATGCGCTGCTCACGTGTGGTCAGTGAATCAGGAATAGGAGCTTGAGTAGGTGATGTAGGAGTCACCACTCCTGTCATGTCGATGTAGGCCGAAGGAGAAAGGATGGGGTGAGTGGCTGAAGGAGCCAGATGAGTCAGATCTGGAGGAGAATTCAGTGAGGACATGTGGGAAGGTGAAATGCAGGCGGAGGGAGATGGATGAGCAGGAGCAGCAGGAGATGGGTGCGGTGAAGGAGAGAAGGTCTGAGCAGGTGATGAACGTACCAGAGAACTTTGAGCAGCTGAGGGCGAGGCTGGAGCTGAGGGAGAAGCCTGCACTGCAGGCATCAAGGGTGGCATCTGAGAACTTTTAGAAGGAGGGTGAGAGAAAGCTATTGATGCCAGAGAGGAGGGAGATGAAAGAGCTGATGGGGGTGAGCAGACAGAGGGGGAAGTGTTGCTGTTGTTATTCCTTGGAGGGATATATAGAGAAGTGCTGGACACCGCCCTCCTTGTGTCTGATCCACACGGAGGTTGAGTAGGAGAGATTGTCACCACGGAGACCGCTGCCATGGGTTTGGGTGACATGGTTAAGGGGGTGGGTTTGGGCTGGGGAGGGCGGAACATCACAGAGGTAACAGAAGCATGAGACGGAGTCGAGCCGGGGGTGAAAGGTCGTGCAGTGCGGTTCAGAACACTAGGGTTGAAACCGGAGTTGCTGTGCAGGTCCGTGTTTGGGTATGGATCAGGGTGGCTGTGGGGCACTTTCTGACTCTGAAGAGGAGTGTCAGAAGGTGGACTCAGGACAACACTTGCTCGACTTACAACTACAGAACCCCCATTGGTCAGAGCCACAGCTGGAGGAGACATTGTTTTGATTGGCTGATTCGTGATGCCTCTCTCCACCCTTGAGCTGTGGTCGGGTGAGCTCTCCAGCCCTGAAATCTCTAACCCTTTGCTTTGATATTCAGAAGATAAAAGTCCTGGCCGGAGAAGGGCTGATATCTCTGCTTCTGTGCTATGGATGGTGATAGGTGTGGTTGGAGTAATTGGTGTGGTTGATGGGCAAGCAGAACTTCTCTTATCCAGCAGTTCAAGATAACCGGAATCCCACGTTGGATCAAAGGATGCTGGGTAACCTTCTTCGTCAACTTCTGAGCCGCTTAAGTGTGAACTTCCACCTTCCTCCTCCGTCTCCCCTCCTGTTTCCCCTTCTGTCTCTCCTCCCCTGTCGCCCAGAGCTTTGCCAAAGCAGGTTAGCGTGTACTTTTTGGCCCTCTGCCTGCGTTTCTTAAACATAAGAACCCCTTTTGAGTTGGGATTGGGAGCATCAGTCAGCAAAGATGCAATGGAGCGGCATTTAGAGCGAGCTTCTTTCACCTGCTTCTCCACCACACTCTCCCCTCGCTGCAACTCTGCAAGACAGAAAGAAAAAAGAGCGAGAGACCAAAATAAATGTACTGAAATGAGCAGAAACACAGGAGAGAGGCTGTAATGGGAGTTCTGATTAATCCAAAACAAGGAACAGGCTGCAAATAACGGAAGCAACTGCTGGTAGAGGCTGATTTCTGCAGTATTATCGCAGCAAGGAGCTGTGAGGAGCAGCAGCAGCGACAGACATGAGAGTGTGTGGTGGATTTAGAACAAAGAGTTCCTGCTGCTCTCCAAAGTTGACTCACACACTGGGAAGGTTAGATCCCAGTGGTTTCCTCACCAAACAGTGTCAGTGTGCATGCTTCTGTTCTTCGTAAAACGGTCAAATATTTTATGTTTCAGATCCAAGATCTAATTCAGATTATAATCAGTCTCTGAAACAGGAATCTGAGCGTTAGAAGGAATTACAACTTTCTTTGTATTATCATGCAGGTGTGTGTGTGTGTGTGTGTGTGTGTGTGTGTGTGTGTGTGTGTGTGTGTGTGTGTGTGTGTGTGTGTGTGTGTGTGTGTGTGTGTGTGTGTGTGTGTGTGTGTGTGTGTGTTTACGTGCTCCTGTCTGTGTGTGTGTGTGTGTGTGTGTGTGTGTGTGTGTGTGTGTGTGTGTGTGTGTGTGTGTGTGTGTGTGTGTGTGTGTGTGTGTGTGTGTGTGTGTGTGTGTGTGTGTGTGTGTGTGCAAGCAAAGAATATTTTAGTCTGTTTAACATCGCAACTGTTTTCATATTCATAGCCTTTTAACCAGCTGTTATGACTGAGCAGTTAATACTTGAGTGGCCTTTTTATTTTTACTACTTTAATAAATAAAAATTAGAGTTACTTTATTACAAATTGTGGATACTCTGCCCACCACAGCTCAAACATAAACACATTCAACTTCTGCACACAAACAATAATAATGTCTTGTGAAACTCTCAAAAAGTCAATTTCAAAAAGTTTAACCAAAGTTGACCAGCAGCAGAGAAAAAAAAATAAACCATATTTCTCACATTTGTTAGTTACAATGACTGGATGTTTTCAGTGCTTTTTATTAGCTGCATATTTGCTAATTACTGTAAAAACGTCAAATCCGATGCTGAGGAGAAAGCTGCTGACTCACACAGCCTGGTCTAAAACCCTAATTATTAGACAAATTCTGGTCCAATTTTGGGATTTTCTTAGCCTAGCTAGCTGTCCTATATGTGTAAATATATAAGACCTGCAGAGCAAAATGTTTTTGCTGCTGCTGGTCTGGGTATCTAGGATTTTCTGGCATTTGGCATAAAATGTGGTACTTCCATTTTTCTTAGTTTAAAGGTGAAAGTAACAAAAAATATAACACGCTTTGTGGAAATCTAAATGATGTAATTCAAATGGCAAAACTCAACTTCATTCCAATGCGTAAGGAAAAATATTCAATGTATGTATTAACTGATTTCCATGAAACTAAACAAATCTCATACCTGAAATTTCAATCTGACCCAAAGTAGCAACAAATCAGCCACTTTCTTCCTGAAAGTAACACTTCCAATGAAGTAAAGAAAAAAGTCAACAATTCTGTTTGCATTGAGCTCATACAGACAAATAAAGAGTAAATAATCACCTAAGTCTGTCAAAACAACAGAGAGCTTTCATTTACATGAACATGGTAATAATACACGGTAATCCATTGAAATAAAACTAATCCAGTTAATCTGAAATAAAGAAAAACAGATCCCTCTAGATTTGTGTAAATAAAGTTTCAAGGAGTGTTGTGTCTTACCTGAGTACGCAGTGTGTGGGACCGTGTGTCCACCTATGTCTGAGCAAGAAGGTGTGAGGTCCTTCATCTCACAGCTGTGTGTGTGTGTGTGTGTGTGTGTGTGTGTGTGTGTGTGTGTGTGTGTGTGTGTGTGTGTGTGTGTGTGTGTGTGTGTGTGTGTGTGTGTGTGTGTGTGTGTGTGTGTGTGTGTGTGTGTGTGTGTGTGTGTGTGTGTGTGTGTGTGTGTGTGTGTGTGTGTGTGGCCTTAACCTCCCTCAGACCCTCCCACACACACACCCTAACAGAGTCCAAGCCAGCTCTGAGTGGAGACCCGTTTGGAGTCAGGTTCCGCTCTCCGAGGACAGCCCATGTAAAGACCTTTGTCTGTTTTCAGCAACCCAAACGGACGCATGATGTCAACCCGCTATTCCTGTCCGTCTGTCTGACAGGCATCAAACAGCTGTCCACTCTCTGTCTCAAACACACACACACAAGGAGGGGGAGACTCCTCACCACATATCTAAACAGAGGGTGTGTGTTGTGGTGGAAAGTGTGTCCATTGTTGCATACATACAAACAGCACCACAACAACAAATCCGTGTGTGTGTGTGTGTGTGTGTGTGTGTGTGTGTGTGTGTGTGTGTGTGTGTGTGTGTGTGTGTGTGTGTGTGTGTGTGTGTGTGTGTGTGTGTGTGTGTGTGTGTGTGTGTGTAATATGAGAAAGGTTAGATCCCTGGTTGCCACGGCCATCGTTTGTTCTGTAAGCCGTCTCCCTACATTAAAGTCATTCGGGTCTTTGGGCTCCTGCACTTGGTGACAGATCATTCATTACAGCAGCATTTACCCCTCTGAATAGAGAAGTCAGTCAGAGCATATTTATTTCATTAATCAGCTCTCATCCCTTTAGACATCATGATTTCACCCAACAGAATCAGACTTAAAAAGGTTAAAGCAGCCGTTCAGGATCTGGGGAGAACTGTTTAGAAACAACAGGACAAATTCTGTCATATTGATTTTGATTATTTTACTCTACGCCGATAAACGTGTGTGTGTGCGTGCGTGCGTGCGTGCGTGCGTGCGTGCGTGCGTGCGTGCATGTGTGTCATCTATCTGATTTTTTATTAAACTGACTGTTGCTGTCTGAATTTTAAGTTTCAGGGCAGATTTTGGATAATTATGATCACCAGATGGTATTTACTGTAGCTAAACAAACAAAGATGTTTTAATTTTTTTCTTTTTCTTTATTAAGCTGTTTACTGGTTTGTGATATTTTGCTAACAGTAAAATTTTGTTGACACCTACAGTCATTGGCAACATTTCAGCCTAAAACCTCCCATGATGTCTGAAGCTCAACGTGTGTATTATGATGTTTCTACACCAAATATACTTCAGATATCTGTAAAGTGAGAGGAAAACCCAAAAGATCAATTTTAGAGTTTCATTCAAATGCATTCATTCATACTCTACACATTTAGTCAGCAGTTAGACAAATGATCTTAATTAGTTCATCAGTGAATTGAGGAATCAGTTTTCAGTTGTTTGGATCCAAAAAGCCTATTTAAACATATGGGAAACACATTTCCACCACTTGGTTCTACACATCTGGTGAATGTGACATGTACAGTATATTCAGCCGCTTTGTAAATCGGGGTTTTGCCCCGCGTGCCAATCAAAAGCTTCAACAGCTATAAAAACAGACCGAGAGGAGACAAGCTCAGGGGAAGTGGTGGAGAGTATCCTCTATGACCGTTTCTGTGCATAACCCACCCTTCAGCTTGTAAATGTAAACTCTTGTAACACGATGCAACCACTGGAGGATGATCTCACAAAAGATTTAGGATCACAGTTCAGAGCTGGAAACGCTAATAAACTGAATCTCATGTCATGAAGAGTTAAGGAACCAAAAGAATCAGATTATTACTCACTAGCTTGTCGAGCTTTGTCCATGTAGGTGGTGGACAGGTCCTCGTTTACAGGGGTTTTCAGGGGTCCCACCATCGGGACTAAATGGTTACTGGAGCTCAACTTCAGTGCCTCCTTTGCCCGTTCTGGTGAGACTAGAGGTGGGCAGGCTGGAGCAATGTAGCCCCCTGCCTCCTGGAAACCGCTGTCCCCTTCTCCCTCTGCATCCACCGGACCCTGATCCGGAGTTGGAGTGAGTGTGTGAGGGGTGAGAGTGTATGGGGTGTGTGCAGGAGTGGTCCACCCTGTCTGTTGGGGCAGGAAGATAAGTTCTCTCCGTGGGACGCCGATAGAACCCTGGCCATTCCGCTGCATGGTAACGCCTGCATCTGTTGCACTCTCATATCTTAGAACAACAGAAACCATCAGATTTAATGGAGGAACCTAAAATTGAAGGTTTCTTGTATTTGCGTTAGGAAATTTCAGAGGACTTCAGGCCTCACCCGCTCATCTCTGAAGTCTCCTCTTCTTGATTGTCATAGCGACCAGGACAGCGTGCACAAGGAGGTGTGCGCCGTTGGCGTCGCTGGTGAGTGTGTGAGCGCGTGTCAGCATCACTATCTGTTTCTCCGTAATAAGCCTCACTGTCCGGGGGGGAAGTAACACCTCTGGGTAACTCCATGGGGGAAAGAAGGCAGGAACTGTTGCTCAACAGGACCCCTATGGAGGACAGAGGTGATGCAGGGAGGTTGGTGCATGGTGATGGGTGATATTCAGATGCGGTCCTGGAAACAGAGCACAAGCTGTAGCATGCAGAACTTTGTAGGACGTGACAACAAGGTCAGAGATTGTGTGTTGCAGCTGCAGGTCCATGTTCTGACCTTTTAATCCTCAGGTTCAGAGTGGCACTCTCTTTATCAATCAGGCTCATGGCCTGAGCATGACTTAACTCTGCACACACATGGTCACCAATAGCTACCAGCTCATCCCACTCCTTCAGTCCAGCTCGGCATGCTTTGCTACGTCTGCGCACCTGAACAAGGGAAGGAGATTATTAGACTTTTATGCAGCCATAGAATACACAATAATAAATATTGAGACAATGCCCCTTCTAAAATAATAGTACTTTATTTTTGTACCACCTGTTCCTCTATCTACTGCCTCTTTGCATTTTTAATGTATTTTTACAAATGAATAACCCTACCATGTTAAATGTTTCATTTGTACACATTCTGTATTCACATCTGTTTAAGTGTCTCTGGCAGAAGTAGCATTTGCCATAAAAGAAAAACTGATACCTCTCATGTCCTCTGACCTCTGGTGGAGAACTGAAGTTCTGCAGGTGGGAAGTGGCATTATAAAAATATGTGGCAGTATTAAAAGTATGTAATATATATATATATATATATATATATATATATATATAGAGAGAGAGAGAGAGAGAGAGAGAGAGAGAGAGAGAGAGAGAGAGAGAGAGAGAGAGAGAGAGAGAGAGAGAGAGATATACAGATATAGATGTATAAAATATAATATTGTAATTCGTAAAAATGTGTGTTAACATTATTTTGTCTATCAGGTTTTAAGAGAATGGACGATATATTAATAATAGTTTGGAATGTAAATCTCTAATTTTATTGTTATTCATAGAATCAATAAGCTCAAATGAACTTTTTGTTTATTTAAAGCTTCGATATGCAGACATAATAATAATCACCTACAACAGTTTATGATTTTTTTACGGATTTATGTATTTACTGTAGCTCTTTATTTTAATGTTTATCTGTTCAATATATTGCCTAGTGTGTGTGTGTGTGTGTGTGTGTGTGTGTGTGTGTGTGTGTGTGTGTGTGTGTGTGTGTGTGTGTGTGTGTGTGTGTGTGTGTGTGTGTGTGTGTGTGTGTGTGTGTGTGTGTGTGTGTGTGCTTGTTCCTACCCCACTGATTTTATGTTTGCTTGGAAAACAGCTGTCCAGCTGTGTGTGTTATCTTGTTATTTTATTTTCATTGGAACTTTCTATGGAGGAAATGGTTCATCTCAAGTGGCTTATCCTCCAAGAATAAATTCAAATAAATTCAAATAGAATTTTATACAAACACGCTGATTTGTCAAACTATACATTTGTTTGATTAAAAATTATGGCTCCTCCTACTCAGAGTCCACACTTGCTCACATTGTTAAAGTGATAACTAACAGGCCATGAGGTACGTCAACGAATAAAACATTAAAGCACAAGTCACCCCTAAATCAACCTTTTTTTGCTGATAAAATATAAACGAGTGTCTAATTATGCCGTAGTCATGTATAGTCAATAATTTGGCACTTTAGTGCATCTTTGTTCAAATTTTAATATTTTGCCTAAAACTGTCAGTCCTTCGCCATCGTCAGGTAAAAACTCTGCACTACATTTGAATTTAAATCTGCCACCGCTATTGGCTAAGAGGTACACTATGACATTAGCTGGTAAATTATGATGTCACAATGCTTTTGTGAGCCTGTTTGTGTGTATTTGTTAGCGGCTCCGCCGTCTCGGTCTGCCAGGCAACAGCATTTGTTGCATTTTTCAAACATGAAGTGGGTGTTGAGTGTTTCTTGTAGGGGGTGACTTGCTCTTTAATATTATAACGATAGAAAAACTAGAGGCAGTAAAATAATTGAGGAAGTACTAAAAGCAACAGTACAAGTTTAGTCCATTGAGCAGGCAGTGCAATGAAAGGGATCTTTTACAGCAAACTCTGCTGCAGCTTCTGTAGCAGTAGAAGTCCTCCAGAGGGACAGAGGCTGATTATCTTCTGCGTTGTTTTGCTCACACTCTGATGCTCTGTCAGGTGCAGAACAGATTTCATACCAGGTGGTGATGCAGGACGTTAAAAGTCTCTCCACTGAGTTACAGAATGGCTGTAGCAGGTTTAGAGGCAGGTGGGATTCTGAGGAAAAAAACCTTCTGCTGAACCTTTTTTACAGCAACAGCAGTTTCTACAGACCATTCACACATGCAGCAAAATGAAGGGTGGAGCTCAACACAAATACATCAATAGGACATGGATATTGTCAGAAAGATTGAGACATTGCTCTTTAGAATTAAGATTTTTGTGCTAAAATTCAAGTTAATGAGTGAAACTTTGCTATGTTTAGTTTTGTCATAGATTGAACAGAAAAGTTCAAATGTCCATGAAACACTTGTCAGAATGCTAACTATCAGAGAGCAAAACAAATACTGATTATGACAATTAAAGGAAGATTTGTTGTCATGGAAACAAAATTAAGACAAAATGACTCCAGCCTTTTATACAAATAAATGACTGAATTGTGACCCCAGATGCACGCTGGAAGCATCAGCAGCGCGGAACGGTTCACTCGCAACAATATCAGCACTCCAGTGCACACCGGGAGAGTCTCAACAGCGAAGCAGCTCCTCTGCCATGATCTCGCAAGATCACAAGATCCCTTAAGACTTCAAAGGTTACGGTTTGTTCATGCAATCTGCCACTAAACCAAAGAGAAGGAAATCACATTTGATATGTTTGATGTCATATATGAGGTTGTTCCTCTCCACTGCCAGGATTAAAGTCATGAAAGACACCGCTGCACTTCTGGAACAATGCGGGTAGTAAATAAGCCCTTGAGTCACACGTAAGCGTCATATGTATGAAATAGCATCGCTGCATTTTGAAAATTACAGGGGATTTTACACCGGGGTGATGCTGAACTTTTATGCACAGTTTTTTAAAACTTTATTCTAATTATAGGTATCTTTTTTAGTTCATCAGTAGTTGTGCATTCAAGCAGCTGTTGCCTGAGGTCAGTGATGTCATGGGACCCTTCAGGAAGTATTCTAGCTGGGGTGTGTGTGTGTGTGTGTGTGTGTGTGTGTGTGTGTGTGTGTGTGTGTGTTGGTAAAGACAAGATGGTGAGCATTCTTGTCACAGTTGGAGCTAAAAGTAGAAGATAAGGCCCTCCATCTATCCCTTCTCTCTCTCTCTCTCTCTTGCTCACACACACACACACCTTATCAGTGCTGAGAGTAAAAATGTTGAGTGTGTTCGAGCACCTCCTTTCCTTTATCAGAGGGATATCTCTTGGCCCAAAAATCCCATGTCACATTCACACCAGCAGAGTGAGCAAGTTATCATTCTCAATATTTCCCACTATGAGGCCAACACACACACACACACACACACACAAATCACCAAAGGGCTATTTGAACAGCTGAATCACCAGCTGAGAACAGAGAAGCATGTTTGTCACTCACCATATACCTCAAAATGAAACACATTCCTGCACAGACAGGGACTAGGGTGCTGCTGTTACAGGAAAAACACACAATAAAAGCACTGGAATTAAAAGCTTTAAAACAAAAGCAAATATGTGTGCATCTGTATTTCTGTGTGTGAAGTAGAGGTCTTCCTTTTTCCATGCTCAGCTTCCAGCTCCTCTTAAATGAGCTATTCTGAACCTGCAGTTTGCACTCCGGTCTCAGCAGGGCTTATCAGAGATATGTCCAACAACACACATCAAGAGGAAGAACACACTGACCAAACTCCCAGCTCAGGTCATCTTGTCTGCCATACGCTGGATCCAGAAATACCTTCTGTTCCAGAACTAATTTGCTCCCTTACATACTTTATTTTGAATTTGCTTTTCTTTTCAGATGCTTGAGATGAGCAAACAACTCTCAATGTCAGAATAAATAACCTGAGTAAATACAAAATTTGGTATAAATTGTGAAACAATATTTATGGATAAACAACTACTACTAACAACTGCAGCACTGCTAACCTCACCTGGTTTCTGTAAGAGAACATGTTCAACAACATGAAAGACCACAACCTCTGCTGAGCTGAAAGCACAGACAAAAAAAATCCTGAATATCCCAATAAATATATATTATATTATATTATATTATATTATATTATATTATATTATATTATATTATATTACATTACATTACATTACATCATATCATATCATACTATACTATACTACATTACATTACATTACGTTACATTATATTATATTATATTATATTATATTATATTATATTATATTATATTATATTATATTATATTACATTACATTACATTACATTATATCATATCATATCATACTATACTATACTATATTACATTACATTATATCATATCATATCATACTATACTATACTATATTACATTACATTACATTATATTATCTTACATTATATTATATTACATAACATTAAATCTCAGAAGCCAGTACATTGCATTATATTATGTACTATTGTATTATTAAAGAAGATTCTGAACTGACAAGATAAGAGTGTGACTGGAATGTTTGTGTCTCATTCCACCCAGAGTAACATTAACAAACTGAACACCATGGTTACTGTGGTTATCCATTGTTTGAAATGTAAAAGATTCCATTCCAGACCCGGGTGGGCCACGTGTTGAAGTGGGCAAGACACTGAATCCTGGAAAGCTGCCCCCTGGGCACCGTTCCGATGGGAGCCCACTGCTCTCAGGGATTGGTCAAATACTGAGAAGAATTTCAACAAAGGGATCAATGAAGTATTAGATTATTAATATTATTACCACCAGAAAATCATGAAGGAGAATATCTGACCTAGAATCCCCTTTAATGCAGCCCAGTTAAAATAATTCTGTTAAGAAGAGTCATTCCACAGACTCATTATCAATTTTCACGACTGCTTGTTTGTCCGTGTTGCTATCGTTAAACTTAGGATTTGGCTACTTTTCACATATTCAGGCTATTTTGGGGTAGCTTTTTCTACTTAATAAAATAAATCATGATTTAAAAACTGCTTTTAGTGTTTTCTTCTAGAACTCTTATTCATTGTCAGAGACGGTGGAGCCTTCAACATCAGTGTGAGCGAGGTCACGTTCCTACTTCTTTGGAAATAAGAAGGATAGGATGGAGGTTAGTGTTCAGCTTGGCTCCAGACGAATAAAGACAAAGACCCAAGTTAGAAATCTTGGTGTCACAGTGAATTCAGAGCTTCAATGGCCATATTAAGATTATAACTACACTCACCGGCCACTTTATTGGGTACACCGGTCCAACTGCTCATTAACACAAATTACTAATCAGCCAATCACCTGGTGGCAACTCAATGCATTTATGGTCAAGATGATCCGAGCTTCAGAATGGTGAAGAAAGGTGATTTAAGTGACTTTGAACGTGGCATGGTTGTTGGTGTCAGACGAGCTGGTCTGAGTATTTCAGAAATTGCTGATCGTCTGGGCTTGTCACGCACAACCATCTAGGGTTTACGGAGAACGGTCTGAAATAAACTGAGTCAGAACCAAACAGGTCCAGTAGTTTTTAGCCACTATGCTTCACAGATGGGATCAGCTTCCTCTTGACCTCAAATGTGTCCCAACTCTATAGACTTTTAAATCAAAATTGAAAACCTTCATGTTTTCATCAGCCTTTGAATAAATGTTCTTATGCTGCACTGTCTGCATTGCAACTGTTCACCCTTAAACTTTATTGGTTTCTTTTTAACTTTAAATTGTTTTTTCTGTCATCTTTATTTTAAGGATCTTGCTTTTCTTGCTCCTGGAAAGCACAGTGAATTGCCTTTGTGAAATGTGCTTTATAAATAAAGCTGCCTTGCCTTATTTTCAGGAACAGATTTATTGTTAGAGAGCATATCTCAAAATGTCACAAGAAATAAAATGGTGTGTGTGGATGACTAACCTGAAACATTTTTTTTTTGTTCCAGATACATGTACACTGTCCAGCCAAAAAAAGTCTACCTGGATTTTACAAAGCAAATAGGTAGGAGCCTCCTATTGGATAATTACCGCATGGGGATTATCTGGCAACAAGTTATTTAACCCCAACTGGTGCAATGAGTTGCTTCTCATTTCTTAACCCTCTGCAAGCAGGTGTTGCAAATTTACAACATTAAAACCTACCTAGCTGGTTACTCCACATACGTATTTCATGAGCATTTTTTAAGTCTGAATTACCCCTGAAGGACTTAGTTGTTCGTCCTTTAGTCAAAACTTATTTTGAGCCTGAGAGGGTTAAACATCCATGTGGAAAGACACATCTGGTGGTCGTGGAAAAGATGTTAGTCTGTTTGAGAAGGGTCAGATCATTGGCATGCATCAATCAGATAAAAAATCTAAGGAGATTGTAGAAACGACTAAAACTGGGTTAAGAACTGTCGAACACATTCTTAAAACTGGTCTGATGTGTCCAGATGGACCCTGTTCCAGAGTGATGGCGCATCATGGTAAGAAGAGAGGCAGATGAAGTGATGCACCCATCATGCCTAGTACCTAGTGTGGCAAGGTGGAGACACGAGGACCCGGGTGAGAGTCATGCTCGCTAACCAGTAAGCTAGAGGGACATCCTCTTGGCCAAGTAGCCAGGGTGCATGATCAATTGAGAGACAGTGACAGGACACTCACACTGCCACATGTTTCCCCCTCTTTCCACAAGCGCATCCTGTGCTCCCGCGCAGGGTGCCACAAACTTCAAATCCATGTCCCTACTTGACAGTGCTACATGGATTCTGCCAACAACGCCAAATGTGGCAAGGTGGAGAAACGAGGGCCTGGGCGGGATTCAATGTCCAGACACCTGGGTGAGAGTCAGACGTGCACAGTACACGCCTGTGGGGGCAGTGCTATAATCTGGGCTTGCTGCAGTTGGTCAGGTCTAGGTTCAGCAACAGGATGTGCTCCAAGAATGAGGTCAGCTGACTACCTGAATATACTGAATGACCAGGTTATTCCATCTTCCCTGATGGCACGGGTATTCTCTAAGATGACAATACCAGGATTCATCAGGCTCAGATAGTGAAAGAGTGGTTCAGGGAGCATGAGACATCATTGTCACACATGGATTGTCCACCACAGAGTCCAGACCTTAACCCCATTGAGAATCTTTGAGATGTGCTGGAGAAGGCTTTGTGCAGCGGTCAGACTCTACCATCATCAATGCAAGATCTTGGTGAAACATTAATGCAACACTGAATGGAGATAAATCCGGTGGCACTGCAGAAGCTTATGGAAACAACGCCACAGTGAATGTGTGTCGTAATCAAAGCTAAAGGTGATTCAAGGAAATATTAGAGTGTGTGACCTTTTTTCTTTTGGTGACAACTTTATTTTTGGTCGAGCAGTGTATATGCTCTTTATGAACACACCACATTACAAATACAGCAACCATTTTAATAGAAAATATTTGAATTCCCATTTTAGTTCAAAAGAATGTAAATTTATCTCTGTCTTTACATTCTGGTAATAGGTTAATGGAATGTGCGTTAAATTTAACCCTCAAACTAACACTCATGCTGTTCCCTGACCCAGACACTCTGTGACAACAGCTGACAGTTGGACTGAACTGGGCAGGGGCCAGGGACTGCCGTGTGAAACGGGAAGAAGAATACTTGACGTTGAAGCTTTTTAATTACAAACGAAAGGTTGCATCATTTCAGGCAATTCTTCTGACACTGCAAATAAAATTTGCCAATCAAGTGTATCATTTTGGGCTCAAAAGATTAAGAGCTTTTTAAATTGGAATAACACAATTTATAAAATTTTAACATTTGTTAAATCTTTATTACTGGAAAATGTTAAAAAAAATGTTATGCATTCATAATTAATTTTTTCATTTATTTTAGTGACTAATTTGTCAATGTCAGTACCTAAAATATGTGTGGGGGGGGGGTCCTGTTTTTGCATTTTTTATTCTTTTGGGATAAAAGGGTTATCATATGATAATTATTAATAATAATAATGTAAAAACAATAATAGTAATAATGGTAATTATTATATAATGTATAATATTTGAGTTTTTACTCAACCATCTCTGTGTTATTCAGATTTTTCTTCAATTGTTTTGTTTTTTCCAACAAAGTTCAAGTTCTAATGAAGATCACTAAAGGGAGCTCTGCCAAAAAGTTAAACATCTCTGTTTCCGCCTAAAGTTGAGACAGGAAAAATTATAAATTACAAAACTGATCATCCCCTCAAACTTCAGGTTAGTGCAACAAACAAGTTGTCCATCAACAAACAGAAAAACGGGCTGTATCTTCGCCCTACCTTCGCCACCTGGAGAGGTTTCTGCTCCTCCGCTCCTCCTTGTAGTCTGAAACCCCACGGCGCTCCTCCTGAGATGGAGACAAGTATCTCCTCTACTCCCATCCCTCTGCTTCCAGATCACTGACTTTATATCTAAGAGTGAGACTTAACCGTCTGTTTCCTCAGTTCTCCGTTCTCTGCGAGTAAAGAGTGACACCCATTGCTCTCCAGGATCACTCCACCCATCAGAAGACAGAGGGTGGCTGGCTCTCATCAGCTCACACTGGAATGCAGCGTCAAAGGGGGCTTAAGTGTGTGTGTGTGTGTGTGTGTGTGTGTGTGTGTGTGTGTGTGTGTGTGTGTGTGTGTGTGTGTGTGTGTGTGTGTGTGTGTGTGTGTGTGTGTGTGTGTGTGTTCCACACTTGCCATTTCAGTCTCAAGCACCCCATAGCGGAGGGGATTCTTCCTGATATACTCTCCCGAAATAACCATCACCCCTTCTTTGAGCCGCTCGGCAATCAGCATGTCGGAGCAGTGGCTCTTCCTGCCTCCACAGAATCATTTTCGTTAGGATCACAAAATAAAAGGAAAGGGAAGTGTGATAAGGACATTTGTTTTACAAAACGGGACATTTTGAAATAAAAGTTGAATATTATTAAACATCATAAACTTACATTGTTTTACCTTAAAATCTGAGTCAATGTTTTTCAATTTTTAGAAGAAGAAATCATTTTTTAATATATTTTTATGTAGAGCCTCTCAAGATAAAAATCATGAGACACTTGACAAGAACAAAACATTTTTAATGATTTGAAATTATATTTAAATGATTTTTAAAAATCATACAAAATGGGAAAAGTGAACATTTAAAAAAAATAAAGAGAAAGAGGACAAAAATGAATAGGAAAAAGGTAATACAGGAATCCTGAGAAAGGTACAATTGTAACATCAGCATGAAAAGAAGGAAGAATCAGCAGGTCACACCAAAACCAGCCTGAACAGGTGACTTTTCAGATGCTTTTTAAAGGAGAGCAATGAGCCCACTGATCTCAGGGGGAGAGAGCAGAGTCTGGGGCCACAGCAGCAAACCTTTGGTCTCTAGCCTGGTGTGTTGCACAACAGTATGCTTTGGTCACTGGATCTCAGGGACCTGCTGGGGGTGTAAGGACTGGCGATATCACCAATGTAAGGTGCACTGTAAAACCTGCTGAGTAAGTTCAGCTCAAATGAACTGAGGAAACTGATTGCCTTGCATAATTTAAGTTCATTAACTTAAATTGTTAACATTTAGAAATTTGTTTGAGTTAACTCTAATTAAATAAATCAGGTTGTTTTAACATGTGAATCAATTTCATGCATTAGTTCTACCAAGTTGACATAATTTAAACCATTATCCACTCATATGAGGTGTTTTAAGAATGTTCTTTTAAAATGTTAGTGTAAAATGTTTAAATTAAGTTATTTTAACTTGAACCCATCTTTTTAATGTAAGTTTTTCCAAATGACTGTGTGGTCATTTAAAAAAATCATTCATTCATTCACACATACAAGACAAAAATCACAGACAATGTAACGTCTCCGAAACCTTGTCACTCAAACTGATAACTTACATGTAAAAAATGAATTTAATATATTGCTTGTGAAAAGTCAATATTACTGTTACAGTCACATAAGGATCAGAGAACACAAAGTTTCATGTTACTGGGCAGGCGAGTTTTAAACAGTCAACCTAAACATATAATTAACAAAATACATAAAAGATTATTTTGCATTTAAGTTGCCATTGTTTGTGCATGCAAGTAAAACAACTGAGAACATGATTGTGAGAAATATTTTTGTCCAGCTCATTTCTGAGAGCCTGCAGCTCAGGTTGAAACTTTTTTGAAGAAACTTTTGAAGAACCCATGAATGTTTTCATCTTCTTGTCTGAAAGTCCAGTCCTCCTCCTTTTGTACAGCATCAGATGTTGAGATGACTACAGGCCCGGTCAAGAACAGAAGAGTAGTGTATATTTTGGTTTGTGATCCTGTGGAGATCAGTGTAGAGCTGCGTGGGTAAAAACAAAACATTAGACACCACATTTGAAGAAACCAAGTAGAGCTTTAGTTTTTCTAATTCTGGTCCATAACTTTGATTCAACGTTATTATTTTGACAAGGCTATTAACCAGCATTCATATTGTTTGAAAAAGAAAGCCAGGTGAAGCGCGAGATAAACATAATTTTTGAAAGAGACGTGTAATGCAGAGAACACAAAATTATATCCAATAAATCTGAAATGTGAAGGAAATGTAAATAGTAATTGCAAAAATTATAAACACATGGCAGTTGAATCCTTTGATTCCAAGTAAATGCAAAATTGAAGTTCAACATCCTTGTCGGTAGGAGGGACCTCAGTGGTGCCTCGTCTGGGCTGTGGTCAGCTCTTGGCTGGGAAACTCCTCTGAAAAATAGGACATTGTAAAATATGACAAATCAATCAAACACTGTTTAGTAGGGTAGTGCTCTGGGTTTCTGTAGCTCACATTGTTTGTCTGTGCAATGCTCCACTTGAGAAACATCCTTTAGATAGAAATGATTGATATTTCGCATTCCGAACAGATGCTTACATTTTTCTATAATAAAATGGTGTCTTTATTTTCAAACAAAAACATGGCTCTAAATGCTGTTTCTATAGTAAAACTCATGTCTTTATTGTCAGAAATTGTCAAGAGATTCTCTTGTACTGTATAACCAACTTTAGGCCAAATTACTCTTTGAATAACATTTTAGCAACATTCAATAGCATTTTGATAAACAAAAAATATTTCAACCAAAAAGCTTTTTGTAACCTAAAGCTTTGTAGATAAACCGTGGGTCACACAGCACATTAAACATTAGACATCTTTAAGCTCGCCACAGTTATGGTTTGAGAATCTGCTCAGGAATTGAAACAAGGATAAAACAAAATGTGACATTATTACTGAAAGAACATTCTTACCATAAATTTTAAAATGGTTGTCAGTGTTCGTCTTTTTCAATCAGCTACGATGATAACTCGCTCCTCTCCATTCAGTGCAAAAAGAAAGTGGTTCCTCAGCTGGGCGCCTCATGGCAGGTACACAGGGTCACCTGCCCAATTCAGCAGGACTTGCTCTTTTCACTTAAAATTAGTTTAGGGACATTAGCCAAAATAAAATAAGTATATCTAACAAAATGCAGGTGTTTAAGTAACACTTGGAACACTGAAATAACGGTCATGAACTCAAATCTGCAGAGTTAGTAAATAAGTTTGTCATTTTTGAGTAAGATGAACTTGATAGAAGTCTGTAACTGTAACTTTTCAGGGAAATAAGTTATTTGAACTCACTTTGTTTAATAAGATATGCTGTTAGGTTTTTCAGTGTGGTGCTTGTTCATATAAGGCCCTAAAGACCAGAACCAGGGTCTTGAAATAAACCCTGAAGTTGACTGGCAGCCAGTGAAGCTGGAGGAGAAGCGGGGTGATGTGGGTGTGTTTGGAGGACTTGGTCAGAAGCCGAGCACAGGCATTCTGAACCACCTGCAGACAGTTCAGGGAGGTTCTGCTCAGACACGTGAAAAGAGAGTTACAGTAGTCCAAGCGTGAGGAGATGAAGGTGTGGATAACTGTCTCAAGCTCAGAGCGGGATAGAATGGGGCTCAGCTTAGCAATGGTCCTGAGATGGAAGAAGGAAGAGCAAACAAGAGAACTGACATGAGAATCCAGGGTGAGAGCTGGGTCAAAGAATAAAGAGCTGGATGTGCTGAAGATGGAGCAGATAGAGGAGAACAGTAAAGGCCCTAGCACAGAACCTTGCAGGACACTATGGGTGAGGGAGGTGGAGGAGGACCTGAACTTGGAGATGGCCACAGAGAAGGAACGCTCAGACAGATAAGAGAAGAACTCCAGAGCCATTCCTTTTAAATAATCACAAAATAATTTGTATCCTCTGATAAAAAAATTTATAATAATAGCAACAAATAGGACAACAATTAAACATCTTCATTATGTTTTTCTTTTGGACACCAAAGGGCTGAAATGAAAAACAAATGGTGTCAGGAAGGCAAATATAAAAGATAAATACACAGCCTTATTCTTCTGATTCGTCAACATTTGTGTCCATATCGCAATCTTCATAGAATAGAATAGAATAGAATAGAATAGAATAGAATTGAATTGAATTGAATAGAAATTCCCTTAATTTTACCACTATAGGGAAATTTTGGAGTACATCAGCAATCACATTCACCACTGGATCATCAAATAAAGAATAAGGAATGAAATTATTTACATTATAAAAAAAACTTACATAAAATATCCTATTGAATTAACAACTTATAAAAAAATTACAGTGTAAAAAGATTAGCCTTCAGTGTTCATGTTGCCTTTGCATGGTTGAAATGAAGAATTGCATGTTAGCTGGCTGATGGCACTTTTAAATATGTTGGTAAAAAATCAAAGTACAGAGTGAAACTATTGAATGTAATGTTGGCAAACAGAGGAGGGAAGAACGGCGGAAGTGGCGGCGCGGTGTCCGGATGTGGACGTGGCACAGCGCTGCAGCAGTTCCGCTGAATGTCCGCGTCTGAAGAAGGGATTAGTGAGCAACACTCCGGGACGACATCGGCTTTTTAGTTTTGTCGCTCAGTGGGCTTTTGTCGTTTGCCACGATTAAAGGATAGCCTTACGATTTGTTAATCTTCGGAGGTAGGTTTCGAATTGACACAGCTCTGAGTGTGACATACTAGCCCGGCTTTACAGGACATCTTGGATTTCCCTATCCTGTTCATGCTAGCTAATGCTAACGGCTATGCTAGCAGCTGGAGGTTACAGGCTCAGCCGGTCGGTTAGCATTTTCTAGCTCACAGCTGTTTCAACCACTGCTGCTGTCATCGTGATTCAAGTTAGCCTGTCGCTAACGCTAGCATGCGAAGTTTGCTCTCAAGCTAAGGGCGACACGTTTGTTAATAGCTCCCCTTTCATTTCGCCCAACTACATTATTATTAAAACTCTTTACAACACTGGGTTTGAACTGGACTCATTTTTTACAGTTTGATTGATTTGTTATGCTACTGCTAGCAGGCTAACCAGCTAATTTTAATGCGGCACAGCTAGGGTCCACTGTCTTTAGTTTTTTTTTTCTGCAGTCCCACACAACTCCCGTGATCGATCTTGTTTGCGAATCTTCTGGTTCCAAGTAATTTATTGACGAGTTTATATTTTAGTCTTCCTCTGACTTAGATCTGAAACATAAGTGCATGTATGTCATTTAGCAGGCCTGACATACAAAATAGCTGTGCGGCTTCACTAGTAGTGATTGTATTTCTCATACGGTCCCTTCCCTTCTGAATTATTGAAGGCCTCCGCTCGTTTAGCCCATGTTTGTCAGATGATACCCATGTTTGTCGTGTAAGTTAGACTAGGATCTAGATGCCATGTTTATAATAAAACAGCTGCTCCACATCTGGCATAGAAAAGTCATGTGTCAAGCTCCAACTTTGTCATTGTTGAGACTTAAGACTTTAAACAGCCACCCAGGGGGATCTGCTTTAGTTGATTGTTGTCTTTGTTGCACCATTTTCATGTAAAACTACTGATTAGTTTATGCTTGGACTCTGAAGTCAGGAACCAATGGAAACCGTGTGGGAAAGGCCATAACAAACATCACAAACCAGTGAAGGTGTTGTACTTGAACCAGGAAACAATAACCTTACAGGATGGTTTAAATTTGTCAGACAGAAGCTATCAAGTCTTTTGTGTTTATGTTTGTGAAGACAGAAGATTGAAGGACATACACTTCAGAAGATGAAAAAAGTTGTCATTATTTATACTCTATTAGTTGTGTTTTTGATTATTTCACGATTAGTTGTGCTCATGACCCCAACATCATCTGTGTCTCAAGGACTTTCGCATATCTCATAATCATGTTTACACTTAGCAAACGGATGAAACGAGTTGTTTTCTGACATTTTTGTCTAGCTTTAGGGATGAACTGAGGATGAATGTAAACCAGCACACTCCAATGGCCTCTCCATATGGCCAGCCCCAGCCTGGCTATGGTCAGCCCAACTACGCACCCCTGGATGGGGGGTACCCAGCTTCGTATGCACCCTACAATGGTCCTGCTTCCGCCTATCAGCCTGGGGTTCCACCTCAAGGTAAAACACTGCTTCCAGACCAGCTTCTGTGTGAATTAAATCTCAGACACATCCACTTGAGGAGAACCCTGTGCACACTAATCTAAATCTTTCATTTCTTCATTTACACTCATTGCCTCGTATCGTCTGTATTTGCCCTCTTTCTTGTATTTCAGGTTATTCTTTCACAAGCTTTCCTTCTAAGGCTGTGGCAGCCAACCCAGCCTCTGACCTCTCCTCTTCTCTTGACTTAGGTAACTGCCTCTGCCTTTCACTCGTTTCACTCATCGACATACATATATGGAGAATGGGTTTCCATAGACTCCAATAATAAGTTTTTGTACTAAAATGGGAGGTGGCCACCACCGCCATTTTGACCGTGTCACAGGTTCCATCAAGCCCAGACAATTCCATGAAAGGGAGGAGAGGTGGAGCTGAGGGTGGGGCTGTAAGGTTGGGATCAACTGACGACACCCGGTCGAACTAGCTACAAGCTAACCTGAAGCTAACCCAAAGCTAATGCGGAGGTGGGAGCTAAGCTAACGGAGACAGCAACCTAGCTATAACCGGAGTTAACTGTGCACAACACCAGAGCTTCTGAGTCAGAGATACGCCGGGCTGACCGCTGGGTAAAACCGGGTGGAACACAGAGGTCTCCGAGAGCTCCACAAGCCGGCAGCCGCACAGCAGACAAGCACCGCTGCAATCTGAGATGCGCAGAGCTGCCGCTGGGGAGAACCAGTTGGAAAGGTTTCCATCCCAGAGCTCCACAAGCCGTCAGCCCGCGCAGCACACAGAAGCCGCGATCAGACATAGATGCACCGAGCTGCGGGGAGGGGAGGACCGGGTGGAAAACAGAGGTCTCCCGAGAGCTCCACAAGCCGATAGTCGGAACCCAGCTCCACCAACATGTTATATTTCAACCCATTTTCTAAAGTGCAGCATTATGTTAAATGCACTGGGTTTGACCCTTTTACATTTAAATTTCATGGTTAAACAGTACATGTTAAAATCTAAGCTCAGCTCAGCAGTGACCTAAAATTCATAAATATATTTTTACTTACCGTAAAAAATGAAGTGGAGACTCCTTGGACGCTCTATTAGTGCAATTAATGCCACAGCAAGTCATTTTGTCCAACAATTGCACAAAAAATATCCAAAAAAGAATACACAAACACAGAGACTCAAAATGCCGGAGCAGTTTGCAAGCCAGACCGAGGCTCTACTGAGGCCTTTCCACGGAGCTAGCTCTGTGGTCACGTGGGTCGGATGCTCATTAATTATACAGAATTTTAGGCTTTTAATACACTTAAACAGAAGAGTGAGAAAAAAATTCACCCCCCTCAGAGATGTCATGAGTGTAAACTAGATCATTTAAACCAAAAACATGTTTTGGTACCAGGCTGTAAACATGTTTATTTCTGCTGTGAAATTGGTATTTTTAACATGGGAGTCAATGAGGATTTGCTCGCTTCTGACACCAGTGGATGAGGGTGCAACTGCAATTTTTGGTACTTCTGGGTTGAGACCCAATTTCTGAGCCGCATTGTGGGGGCTTGGTTTCACTCTTCCTGTAACCATCAGGTCATTTGGATCTTACCGTCCCATCCTGTTTTCCTTGTGAACGACTGACCTTTGGCCCTCATTGTTTACTTTAGCAGTGGTTTGCCTCAGCCAAATGTATTAAATGTGTTTCTGGTATGTGGATCATGTGGCTGTGTGTATTTTCACTCTGCATTTAGATCAAGTGTTTTGTTGATATTGATCTGGTGATTTAGTTAGTTTCTGTTGGTTACAAGCAGCATCTCTAAAGTATTAGGTGATATTCTCTTATTTTACTGCATCTCGATTGGCAGACAATCTTAGCTGACCCGGATTTTGGATCTAGTCTCAGCTCCTGACCCCAAAAGCCAAATCTTGGAATGTTATTAGTTGTAATTTGAAAATGTCTTTGGCATTTTGCTGTTAAGCTCGAAGCTCTGATTTAGTAAAATTTAGTGGATTTATGTATAAAAACTGTTTCATCCTATTTCTTTCTATTGTGCTTCATATAATCCTTTTCATCAGGTTCTGCTAGGGGTCCTCCCACCTCTGCACCCCCTCCGGTCTCAGCCCCTCAACAGTACAACCAGTACAGCCACAGTCCAGCAGACATGCAGAACGGACCCCCACCGATGACACAGGCGCCACCCAGGTACAATTCAGTTTGAATGGTTGTGTTTTTAAAAGAGCAAATTTACCGAGAAACCATTTTTTACTCATTATTCTTATAAATGATCAGTAACTAAGTTTTTCATGCAGGCTGAACATGAAAATAGTCTCCTACACCTATCTCCTGCATTAGTTTCTGATAATAGATGGTGAAACTCTAGGATAGAGACCAACTGATATATTCAACTATTTCTGTTATTGGCCATCGGCCGAAATGATTTTTAAAGGCTGATTAATCAATTAACATCAGGCACCTGTGTGGCCAACTGCCACCTCTACTAGACTGAAGAAAGGACCTGAAGGACCCCAACACACCGCGAGCCATGCTAGAACCTTCTTTTAATTTACATTGTTTTATGCTAAGCTAAAACAAAACGTACTGCTTCCAGATCAGGAGAATAACTGAGCTTGTTGGCTACACAATAATTTTTCTGACTTCTCTAACTGGGAACTCTTAACAACAGACAAAATTTTACTTCTGAGTGGAATATCCCTTTAAGTTTGGTGTTTAACTCATTTACTTCCAATGACGACTTTGCATTTTTTTACTGTGTGGGCATCAGAACGAGCCCCCACACCGTGAAAACAAACGTCCCAGCTCTAAAGCCGATCTTCATAAGCGTACGCCACGCATCACGTGATCAGGAAACAGAAAATCCATGTGTTAGGAGATCGTTTTGGGCCGCTGCTGTAAAAAAAAAAGTGAGGCGCGAACCGGAAAAGCTTCTGCCGATCACAATTCAACAACAGGTTGTGAAAGAACAGATAATGCTTGAAACGCGCGGATTCTTCTTGTTGTAAGAGGTGAGTCTACTCTTTGTTTTGGTTGTTTTGGTAGTTTTGGCGCTGACATCATCTTAAAGCGCAACGTTCTGACGATAAGTCGCATTTTGGGGGGAAATTTTATTATTTTTCTTACAAAATCTGAGACCAAGCATTTCACATTGCAAGACAAGTACCGGTAACAATAAAAGAATAAACAACCAGCTGTTGCAATATTGAGGCATTGAGGTGTGGAGCAGAGGATGCCTGGATGTGCACCACTGGCAGCGGGGAGGGAGAGCTGCAGCCTGGGTGGGTGGGTGGGGGATCCAGGGTGCTGCAGCGCGCCACGGTCTCCAGCAGAGGATGGCGGTGTTTCAGACCCTCCCAGTGGGTGGGGAGAGCTCATTCCTGGGCTGGAGCCGGCCCGCAGCACCCCGCCACAGGCTGCAGCAGGTGATGGCGGTGTTTGAAACCCTCCCAGCGGGACAGGGGAACTCATTTCCGGGTCAGAGCCGGCCCACAGCGGCGCGCCACAGGCTCCAGCAGGTGATGGCGGGGCAGAGGAGCTGAAACCAGGTCCGGAGCCGGCCCGCAGCAGCGCAGTATACATAATTTGGTATATAAGTCGTAGGACCAGCCGACTATAAAAAAAAGTGCGACCGATAGTCCAGAAAATACGGTAATCGGCTTTAGTTATCAGTCATCAGCAACAAAATTCTCGAAAAATCTGTATCGGCGTTGGCTAAAAAAAATAAAAAAAGAAAACCTATCGGTCGGCCTCTACCCTTAAGATTTGAAAAGCCTGACGGATCTGAATCACACTGTCATACACTCACCCATCTTGACTCCTGACGGGGAAGGCTGTTGTTGGTTTAGCATCCATAAAACACAAGAGAACCTCTCGACTAGCAGAAATTACCTGTTAGCATTAGCAGCTCCACCACTCAGCAGAACTCCACCAGGATTGTGTTATTTGTGGAGATAGAACATCAACATTGCAGAGCAAACAGAGTCAGTGGTGGACTCACTTTGCCGTTAGACAGTCGGAGGCGATATGTCCAAAATTCAAGAAATAAGACTCCAAATCCTGTCGTCTGCTGCCAATTTCTCCACTGACTGACTAGATTTCAAACAGAAGCATCTGAGCTTTTGTTTCCCCAGAGACCAACTTACAAGGCACTCATCCCACTTAGAGACCACTGCAAATGTATAATAATATGAGTAAATTTGATCTTTGAATTAATTCAAATTCAGAAGCCTGCCCAAGCTGCCATTTAAACACACCAGACAGTTATGAAACCTTGTGGTTATCTGATATGGGAAATACTTAAAAAAGAAAACTATTAATTTGGTCAAATGCATTTTAATAAACTCAGTGGAACTCGCTTAAAATGCCCAGCATGAGCCTGGAGGATCGGTTCCAGGAGGGGTTTGTGTGAGAGTTTAAAACGCTGGATCAGGTGTTGTGAATCAGCCAGGTGAGATCCTCATATTATTGTCTTGACTGGCTTTGGTCCAGGAAAATTAAGCACTTGGATCAAAGCATTACCACGGCTGTTGTAGCAGATTAATTATAAATGAGTGTGTTTTTCTTTATTGGTGTTAATGTGAGCGTGTCCACATGCAGCTGGTCAGAGCTCCTTTGGAAGTGAGACATTTAAACCGGTGTGTAAGTCTCGTGTGCTGTTGTAGCACACCAGTATGAACTCTTGATGTTCTCTCCATCTGTGGCATTTAGAGTCATGAATAACTGATCTTTCTACAGGATCATTTTTTATCAGCCACAGTTTCACTTCTTCCAGTTAGGACATCATCACTCTCAGGTGTACATGCAAATAAAAAAAACCTGTTTTGCTTCATACTCTGCCAAGAAATGCTATTCTTGAGGCAAATCCAGCTGAGGAGAACTGATTTCTCTGATTTGGTACCACAAAACCAGATTTTTTGAGTTGTGGTGTGTTTGCAGGCCAGCTGGATCTCAGCCGTATGGGTTGGGAGGGGGGCAGCCTTCCTACCCTCAACACTACGCTCCTCCACCCACAATGCAACAGGTCACCAACCAGATGGGCGGGATGCAGCTCACATCTGGACCACCAACCCCTGCAGGGCTGGGATATGGTGAGTGTGAGTTTACATTTACACATGATGTCAGAGGCATGCACACACACACTCACACACACTTTCTCCTCTCTGTTCAGCTCCACCTCACAGCTCCCAGCCTCCCATCAGTACTTCCTACCAGTCTGCACCTCAGCCCTCTTTCACCCAGGCTCCTCCTCCCGCGTCCTCTGCTCCCACCCAGCCACCTCCTCCCAATGCTCCTGCAGCTTCTCAGCAGTACTACAGAGGTCCTCCACCTCCTCCTCAGCCGCCATTTAACTCGGCTCTCCCCCCGACCTCTCAGCAGCAGTTCCTCTCCTCTGCTCCGCCACCTCCATCTCAACAAACTTTTCCTCCCTCCTTTTCGAGTTCCATCCCTCCTCCCAGTTGCGCCCCAGCTCCCCCAGTTTCCCAGTCACAGCAGCCCTTCTCCACTCCTCAGCCCCATTTCTCCTCAGCACCTCCTCCTGTTAGCCAGCCTGGCTTTCCAAGTGGTCCGCCTCCTCCTGCCCAAGGCTCCTTCCCACCTCAGCCAACCCCGTCCTCCTCGCAGCCTGGCTCAGTTCCTCCTCCTGGTCCTCCTCCGACCTCAGTCACCCCTGGACAGTACCCCACCCCCATTCAACACCAACAGCAGCCTCCTGACTCTCAGCCATCCCCGTACCACTCAGGGCCACCTCCTCCTAGATTTCAGATGCCTCCCACTGTTAACCACCTCCCTCCAGGACCACAGAGCCCACCCGGCCCCCAGGGGCCCCTGCAGCAGCCTCCCTCTCCACAGACAGGATACCCTCCTCAGCAGAACGGTGAGGACACAGCCTTTGAGTTGAAACCAAACATATTCTAATCCATTTCCCATGATGCCATGCTGCTTTGTGCTCCTTCCAGGTGCTTTCGGGCAGACAAGAAGCCCCCAGGCTGGTTATCCAGGTCCTTATCCTGTGCAACCAAACTACGGAGCCCCTGCACCTGCTCCAGCTCCTGCTGCACCTGCACAGAAAAGACTCGACCCTGACGCCATCCCCAGCCCGGTGAGCAGAACAAACATGATCCGAGTAAAAGTGCTGCTGACGTCACTTCTCTATTGCAGCTTGTGATGTTGTTGTTCTGAGCTTGTGTTCCTGTTTATCTCGTATGAATAAATATGAAGGACGAGATGAAAAATCTGTTCAATAGTTTATTTACTGCAGATCCTGTCTGTTTTAGGTTACGTTCTTAAAAGTTTATCAGTTTTATGATGCTTTATTGTCTAATTATGTCGTTTTTTTAAGATTATCTCATTATCTGTAATAATTATTCTTTAAATACACAACTATAACTAGTTTTCAGTTTGTTATAAACGTACCTCATTTATCTGCGGTTGGCTAGGCTTTATGAACATCAGGTGGCCTACTTCTCTGTACTAGAACTGCTCTTTAATCCAAACATGAAGATCTTTTTTGTTCCATACAACAGAAAATTCTAGTTTTTCTATGGTTATTTAGATCCTGCTGTATTCCTTTAAAACTCTGGTTTTAAGCTTTAGTCATTGTTACACATGGAGGTGTTGCATGCCTCTGGGCCTGCTGGTGTAGAGCTGCAGTAACACTAACCTGTAAATGCTACTATTCAGTTTCTCTGTTAACCATCTTCCTGCATCTCTGCAGTCTCGCTGTATTGTTTCTGCTCACACTCCTTTTGTGTCTCTTCACTCTGTATTTATTAATTTTTGTCCTGTTTTGCACTATTTGCCGGACAAACTTTTGAATGTAAAGCAAGCACCTGACATGCCAGCTGTGCAGAAATCAAGACATAGAATAGATCCAGATGCTATTCCCAGCCCAGTAAGTTTCTTGTGTTCACGTCTCTTTTCCTTGTTTATACTATCCTCTCTGCCTGGTCAGGTGTGTCTCCATTTGTTGGAACTTTAGGGTGAATTCTGCGAGAGAAATTGAGCAGGAAATACGATGGCTTTGTCCTCCCAGCTGTTGTCTCCGTGAAATCTCAGCTTTTTCAGGACTTTGCACAGACGTCAGCGTATCGCGACTGCTTCAGCAGTGAGCGATGTCACTGTTCAGCATCAGAAGTTGTATTCTGTCAAACTACGGCATAATTTTATCCATTCGGAGGACGAGAGCAGCTGTGTGATGTAAAATGTGGCGTTCAATGGCCAGAATAAGCTCAGTTTTTTACGGTGCTCTGTGAGATAATAAAGCCTAGTGACTTACTTAGGCGTAGGGGAATTCGGCTGTGATTTTTGGTGTTGGGAGTTTATAAGAGCAGTTTAAAATCAGCGCAACTGGTGCTTTTTTTTTTGTTTCCATTCTGTTGATGTCATTTCTTTTCTACTGAGTTGCAACCAATCAGTGTGAGTCAACCAAAACTTATGCTCAGCTACTTTACCACACAGACATCAAATACTTAGACGCAATGTTTACTGGCGCTGCCATAGTGGCCGGCTGCCATCTTGGATGGATCTCCATTCGCCCCAGTTTGTTTATTTCTACTGGGGAAGGCGTTTACCCAACTAGAAAACATGTTATGTTTTTTTTTTTTTTTCAAAAAAATCAAACACCCGGTATGGCACGATTGTTAAAATATAGATACAATAAAACTCTTCTGAATGTTCGTTCTGTGTATTGATTCAGAATCATCTTCTTTTTTCTTATTTATTTTCTTGTTTTTTTTATCTTTGGCTGACATATTTCGGCCGGAACTTCCACCTTCGTCAGAGCCGGCACAATGAAAAGATACAATAAAATAAAATAAATAAAAATAATTAAAGTCTAAAATTCAAACAGGTAGGCTAAAAAAGTGTAAAGTCATCTTATGTGATTTTTTTTTTTTTTTTTTTTTTTTTTTTTCCATACAATAGTGCGCCGGTTGCTCACGAGCATAGTTGCTCACTCTGTGTTGGCTCCAGTCTGATTTGGAGTGAGGAGCCCACCCAATATGGCGGCGATGCTGTTACAATCTCCAGCACCCAATGATGCATCTACGTATTCATGTTTATGCTCCACCGGGCTATTGTGAGACCCTACCCCTGATCAGGTACTCTGGTACTGGCCCGTTCAGTCGGCCCGGTGAAGTGGAGACGAGCTCATGCCGGAAAGTTTTGGGAAAATTACCCTGAAGTTTCAACAGTGGAAACACGCCTGTTGCACTAACCGCTCACTCTCCCCACCTCCTCACCTTTCAAAGTCAAAGATGGTCACAGTCGTCTTACTGAGACCACTTGTTCAAGCTGTAACCTGTGTTGTTTGGGTTTTTCTGGGGCTTTAGAGGTGCAACGATAGATAACGTGGGAATACCTTTGAGAAATCAGTTAGTAGACGTAGATTTTCCTGCAGGAATGCTTGGTTTGGTTCTTTTAGAATCCATTTTCATTTTGGGGGCTTAAACTGTAAATATCCGGTTGTTTGTTTCTTTCACAAACTCCGACTTCATCAGGGATGGCTGCATGCTCAACTGTGACTCTTTTGGTGCAAGTTTAGTGTCTGTCGTGTTCTAAGGGGTTGTCCCAGATTCATTTGTAGAAGTGAAAACAAATTGCAACATATTAGTTTAAAGGGACAGTTTTGATTTGGTGGAAGTTTAAAATGATCCTAACAGCCTTCATCAATATTTTGTAAATGTAGAGTTTAGTACGTCACACAACAGAAAACACAAATGCATGTTTTAATATTTGATGGCTTAATTTTTTGGTCAATTAAAATATTTGTTCAGTTCACTTAATTTTTAGTACAGCGCCAAATCAAAACAGGAGTCGTCTTAGGGAACTTTACAAAGTAAACATTCCTAATAAACCGACTTATCAGTGGACTAAGTTCAGTTGCCAGTTAGTTAAAAGTTTCCTGTAAGAACGCAGCAGACTGCATCAACTCACTGATTTATTGTTGTGAAGATTAGGATGAGGATTTAGTTTAAAAATGGTAATTTTAAGGAGATTTCCTGGAGTGCGTGATAAACGTTTTTTAGCTAATGTTTAACATATTCAGTTATTTTGGTGTATTTCAGGATTTGAGCAGATTCTATGAGTTAGCCGGTGTTGGCCTTTCCTTCCCTGCATGCTGGTTTGTCCCAATCATTCCTGTCTCTTAACTGAAGGAATGCCTCTAGATTCCTCTCACCTGTCTGGGATTTAATGTTTTGTGTTCTTACGTACACATCTGTTGAAGCTGAACCCTTCATAAACATAGTAGTGTGCATGTGAAAACCTCATGCATGGCCGTGAAATGTTCCTTTTAGATTGTATGATGAGGTCTGGGCTGGGACGTGTTACATATGTAGAAGGAAAGCATTCCTCACCCTTTCTTGTTTTTAGATCCAGGTGATTGAGGATGACAAAGCTAAGACCAACGAGCCTTTCGTCACAGGGGTCAGAGGTCAGGCTCCACCACTGGTCACCACCAGCTTTCATGTCAGAGATCAAGGTAAGTATACAAGTAGCTGGGAATCCCACACAACAAAGGTGTTTTTCTACGATTTGGCCTCTCATCCACACGAAAATAAAGATAAATGTCATCAAATACGGTTCTTTCAAAATATCAGACCAGAGTGAAGATTAGGGGAGCTAATGCCGCCATTTTTAATTGAAAACGAGGTGGTGTGGACCCAAGGTTTATTCTTAGATGGGTGTTGGGCAGATAGTAACCTGGCTAGGTGTGTAGGTGGCCTAAAGCATTCAGAGCACATTCTGCCACAGTCAGGATGCAGTTTCCATTGACACCTCCTTTAATGGCATCAGAATAAAATGCTTTTATTTGTCTGACTAGATGTGAACAAACACACACTGAAGATGTTTCTGTAAAACCCTTCTGGCCTGTGTGATGACATTAAGTGAAGGTTTGTTTCTGTTTGTAGGGAATGCCAGTCCACGCTTCGTTCGCTGTACAGCCTACAACATGCCTTGCACAGCCGACATGGCCAAGCAGTCTCAGGTGCCACTAGCTGCCGTCATCAAGCCCCTCGCCACGCTGCCACCCGACGAGGTGAGTTATGCTCCACCCTCTTTTAGCTCCACTTTTTCCTCCATTCTGTTGTTGGACATGACATTCTGTCTGATCTGAAGCGGTTACGCTATGAAACAGACTATCCCATCCAGGGAAGTCAGGAATTCTCTCCATTGTAACATGGCTCGTTCTTCCTATGAGGCAGTTTGACTGTTTTTCTGAGTCAGAGTTGTTAGAGATTAGAACTGCCTCTGGAGATAATCTGCTTGAAAATTCCTGTGTTTTTATGACTTTATGATCCTGTCATCTCTGAACTGGACCAGTTTTAGGTTACATCATTCAGCTGAACCATAACATTGCTTTCTGCTTCAGCGTCTCCAGGGTTTGAAACCTAAGCGTTCTTCTTTCTGGTCCTGGAAGGCCGGTGTCCAGCATGCTTTAGTTTCTCTGCTCCAACACACTTGATTCATTAGTTGAATCACCAGTTCAGTTGCTCATCAGGCTCTGCTGAAATCTGTTGAAACCAGGTGTGATGAAGCAGGTAAACAACTAAAACATGCTGGATACTGGCCTTACAGGACCAGGCCCTCTTCATCTAAAGTCTGATGTCAAATTGATAAAAGAAACATTTGCCCACTGAAATTGTGATTTTGTTCCACTGTAATGTCATTAGGCCCTGATTTCTTAGTGTAGCCTTGTCTAAATTTCATCTGGGTTTATTTATGCGTGTATGGGTTTCCTCCCACAGACCAAAAACACATGTTAGGCTGATAGGAGGATTGTCCCTAGCTGTGTGTGTGACTCGATGTCTCTCAGTGTGTCCCTGTGATGGACTGGACATCTGTCCAGGGTGTCTCCTGCCTCCTGCCCAAGGACAGCTGGAGTAGGACACCAGCTCTCTGTGACTACGTTTACATGCAGCCAATATCCGGGTTATGATCGGGTTAAGGTCGGTATTCGGGTTTCTGAGTTGATCAGAATAACCCGTTTACAAGCATAAACAGAAAGAGTTACCCCTAACTTGCATAACCCGATTTAAATGCGGACGTTGGGGTAGCGTCATTTCTGGTTCTTCTTGTTCTGGTATCCGTGAAAACAACAACATGTTTCCCAGTTCGGAAGAGATAGCGACTGCGTTTGTTTGCGCTTTAGTTTCCTCGTCACTCCAAAAGTGCGGTGCTGAGCCGCGATTCGCCATTTTGCTCCCAACTTGTTGTTTACTTCCGGTGTTCTGGCGCATACAAGACGTCTCGCTACTCAAAAGACCAAGATTCCTTGAAAACAGAGAATGCGCAGAACACACGCTTTGATGGGGATATCCTGATGTGCGTTTACACGACCAAACATTCGGGTTAGAAAAGGGTTACCCCAGGTGTAGTAACCGGGTTTTTAAAAGCCCGGTTATGAGCATATCCGGGTTTTTGGCGGTGTTTACATGGACCTGCGGAACCGGGTTGTTGTGAATATTCGGGTTTTAAAAGGGTTACTGGCTGCATGTAAACGCACTCTGTGATGCTAGTGAGGATGAAGCGGTTCAGATAATGGACTCAGTAAATCTGTCCTTCTTTTTACTTGCTGTTGCCCATAACTCCTCAGTTATTTACCATAAGTTTTCATATCAGCTCCGCATCCATTATCATAATGGATCAAATGTCTGTTGCACTTTTCAAGGCACTTTACTGAGGATCCATTATTCATGCAAACACTCCCACTCTGGTGGTGATCTGCTTTAGTAGCCCCAGCGTCCCTGGGCGGTCTGACAGAACCTTCTCATCACCAACATTCACACACAGGAAAGGCAGGTGAAGAGTCTTGCCCCAGGACACAACAGCAGCTTCCCTCTGATTAGCACATTTATTGTCAGAATGTTCTTTATTCTGGTGCTCTTGTTTCACAGTCTGTTTTATTATTAAAAGAAGGAATTTACAACTCTTAATGTGTTTGCCAGCCTAGGATAAATATGGAATGTTCTCTGAACCTTTCATCAGAATCCTCCATACATGGTGGACCATGGCGAAGGTGGTCCAATCCGTTGCAACCGGTGCAAGGCTTACATGTGTCCCTACATGCAGTTCATCGAGGGAGGGCGCCGCTTCCAGTGTAGCTTCTGCAACTGTGTCACAGACGGTTAGTTTGTTTTGAGGGGAAAACTTTATTTGGTTAAAATAACTCGCTGTATTGACCTCACGGTTTGGACCTTGGATTTCTTCCACAGTACCTCCTCATTACTTCCAGCATCTGGACCACACCGGTAAGAGGGTGGACTGCTACGACAGGCCAGAGCTGTCTCTGGGCTCCTACGAGTTCCTGGCCACTGTCGACTATTGCAAAGTAAGATCTGTGATCAGTTTGTCTGTTTAGAAGCCAACTTTGAGTCAGATTTTCTCACCTCTCAAAAGTTTAAATCATTACAGAAAGGGTGATTCTCTTGTCATACTCTCATAAATGAAACTTGTTTTTTCGTGGCAGCATGCTGAAATTTACTTTTTTGTGACATTAAAATGACGGTGTGTATGTTTCCTGGCGATAGGGGGCAGTAGATACCTAAAATGTTGCAAGCAAGCAGTATTTTTGTGTTGGAGTAAGACTTTACCAACAGATGCCCATTAGGGTCAAAAAGCCCTGGGGACATTAGCAAAATACCCCTTTCATCACTGGAAACAAGTGAAGAGGTAAATGTGTAAATCAACTGCATTTAAGAATGATGAAAGTTTTGTAACCATTCGTTACAAATCAGTAAATGCATTTTGTCCTCATGGGCTCCCGTAGAAGGAAACATGGCGACCCACAGAGACTTAAGCCCGAATCACACTGAGTGATTTTCGGCCGTCTTAGCCAAATCCCTCGTTGGAAACATAATCGTGTTAAAAAAAAAACGGTGATTTGCAAATCTGTGGTCGTCCAGTGTGACCGGCTCTGCGACCGCTTTTTGAGCCGTCCCACAACCCAAATCAGCCTCCGACAGTCTACAAGCATTTTTGAAAACCTACGATTCCTGTCTGCAACCGACCAATGAAAACTGACCTTGGGGAAGCCGCAGCAGTAAGACTCCGCCTCTCTGAGCTTCAGTTTTAATGTGTGTTTAAAATGCGGATTATAAACTACACACTAGTCTTTATTTCTGTTAATAGCCCAAGTTAAACTGGAATTATACTAAAATAATTAAACCACCTTTTTAGACCATCAGATAAATTTTGAAAACCGTGGTTTTGTGATCTGTGAGAGCTGAGAGGAGATGAGCTCATGAACATTAAAAATAAAACACAAAAACATGAGATCCCTTTGCTGTTGGTGGAAATTTTTACATATTCAACCAATAAGGATGGTTCAGTAGCATTTTGTCGCCGAGGGAACCTGTGCTCCACGACAGCGGGTGTGAGCTGTCACATGGAGCGGTGTTGTGTAACAGTGAGACAGAATTCACAGCAAAGTTTAGATAATGCATAGATCTGTGACGGATTGTTACTTCTCTGTAGTTTAGTGGGTTCTTGTTTGTTTATTTATTTAACAGACGCTTTTGTCCAAAGCGACTTACAGGTGATAATCAAGCCAGCAGGTTGCAATTGAGACTAACAACAAACACTATGCAGTCAATCCTAGGTGGCAGAAAGGCAGCTTAATCAATCATAGAGGAGTGTGCAGTAGAGTGGGGGACGGGTGCTGGGAGAGTGCTAGTTTAGAAGATGCTCTCTGAAGAGCTGGGTCTCCAGGAGTTTCTTGAAAATCGACAAGGTTCTAGTAGTGCTTGGTAGGTCATTCCATATCTGTGGAACGATACATGAAGAGAGTCTGGATTGTCCTGAGCGTGGTGTAGGCACTGCTAGCCGACGACCCTTTGAAGACCGCAGCGGCCGGGCCGTGATGCAAGTCTTTGCAAGATGATTCAGGTAGATGGGAGCTGTACCATCCAGGACTTTGTATGCTAGTGTTAGCAATTTGAATTTGATGCATGCAGCTAGCGGTAGCCAATGGAGCTCAATGAACAGAGGGGTGACATGTGCTCTTTTAGGCTGTTTGAAGGCCAGACATGCTGCTGCATTCTAGACCATCTGAAGAGGTCTCACGGTACAGGCTGGAAGACCAGTTAGAAGGGCTTTGCAGTAGTCGAGGTGGGAAATGACAGTAGATTACACCAGAAGCTGGGTGGTATATTCACATGGTCTGATGGTATGGTCTGATCTTTCGTATGTTATACAGCTCAAAGCAGCATGAACGAGTGACAGAGGCAACGTGATCTTTAAAGGTCAGTTGGTCATCAATCGCAGCACTGAATTTTCGAACTGCATTTGAAGGAGCCAGAGATAGGCAATCATTTTGGGTTGAGATATTGTGCCGTATGGATGGTTTCGCTGGGATGACAAGTAATTCAGTTTTAGAGAGGTTGAGTTGGACATGGTGGGATTTCATCCGTCTTGATATGTCAGACTGTGAGGTCATCCAAAGAGAATGACAGATAGAGCTGGGTGTCTTCTGCATAGCAGTGGTAGGAGAAGCTATGCGATCATTTCATCTTACCCAGTGAGGTGGTGTATATGGCAAAGAGAAGAGGTCCTAGTACAGAGCCCTGGGGGACTCCTGTGGCAAGATGGTGTATAAAGGAGGATGAATGACCAGCGAACAGATCACTGTTTAGCTGGAAGATGGGAAAAAGAGACCCGCAGCCGGAATCTGACACCAAAGTGAGGGTTTTAAAAACGAAGCTTGGGTCATGAGCTGACACTAAAAAGAAGTTTTTATCTTTTCAGCTTTGTTTTGGTTAGCAGTATGCTTCGGGAGGTGCACTCATGACGATGCAGTTCCTGCTAGAGAGAGAAGTTGTGCAGTCTGGCTCACTGAAATCTGGCGCTGTACAGTGTGCCACCTTTCTGGAGTTCTCACAGTGTGACATGAACATCCCTGTGCGACGGCCAAAAGTCGCACAGTGTGATCCGGGCTTTAGACCCACTCCCGTGTTTTTTAGTAGGGATGCACCGATGGGTCGGCATTTGATCGTAATCGGCCGATAGCGCCCCTATCGGTTTTGATCGGAATTTTCAAAATAGATCAAAGCAAACCGATCAGGTAGGGTTGTCACGGTAACCAGTGTAGCGCTAAACCCCGGTAAAAAAAAAAAAAGTTGACAATAATAACCGTCTTGTTTTTAAAAAACTATATTATCTTGGTGGGTTTACCGTGGCTGCGGTGTAGGCGCGGTGACCCTTACCAGCCACCGTATCATCTGCTGAAGTTGCCGGCGGCACATACACGCTTTGTTTACAACAAAACTTTCTTGAAGCTAAAGCTGAAATAATGGTCAAAGGAGGAGACGGCAGCGCTCAGGACATTTATTATCCCTCAAAGAAGACAAAGTGGGAAGTACGGGCATCTTTTGGATATTTGAAGAATGCAGAGGGACAGTTGATAGAAGACAGCTATCCTGTTTGCAGCACGAGCAGAAAAAGTGTCTGTGAAAGGCAGCAACGCTTCTTATCTCATGACACATCTATGTGACCATCACCCACAACTCTACAGTCAACACAAGGCAAGTTAACGTTAGCGTTTTAGCTAAAATGCGTGATCCGAGGATTTGGGTTGAGGGAGAATGCAACGAGTCGCTATATAAAGCTGCCGCAGCGTCGCTACCTGCATATAAACCGTGTCGCGGACACCCCCATGTTGAAATGACGCTATGCATTACGGAGCTCCCAGGGGCAGATAAGAGTTGGTCTCTCTCCGAGAATAATTATGAATTTAACAATGATTACTGCCTGATGACATTTTCCCACATATGCAAAGCTCACTGGAAGGACACAAACCGAGGACAATATTTTCCTGATATAGGGTTTATTACTCAAGTAAGGGTAAAAAAAAGTATCTGATTAGAAGGCTACTTGAGTACTGAGTATCATCTGATCTAATATTTTTAAATGATGACATCAAACAGACATAAAATACGAAGTTATGGGCAAATAATGGTATTTTAAAGACTAAAGGGAAAAAATGTAAACAAATAAACAACATAATTACAAAATAACACATTTTAGGCAAAATTTAGACACAAACTGAGGACAATATTTTCCTGAAATACGGATTGCTCAAGTAAGGGTAAAAAAAAAGTATCTGATTAGAAGGCTACTTGAGTACTGAGTATCATCTGATCTAATATTTTTAAATGATGACATCAAACAGACATAAAATACGAAGTTATGGGCAAATATTGGTATTTTAAAGACTAAAGGGGAAAAATGTAAACAAATAAACAACATAATTACAAAATAACACATTTGAGGCAACATTTAGACACAAACTGAGGACAATATTTCCTGACATACAGGGTTTATTTAATTGTGTGAAAATGTAGCACGTTTAAAAAAATACCGCGATAATACCGAAAACCGTGGTAATTTTGGTCACAATAACCGTGAGGTTAAATTTTCACACCGTGACAACCCTAATACAGACCATTTTAGATTAGGTTACATTTCCTTTATTCCCAGATTATGTAGTTTGTAGCACTCATTATAATGTTGTAGAAAATTTCTGGCCAATCCACGTGATCGGTATCGGTGATCAGCATTCTTTGATATCGGTATCGGTGATCGGCTGCAAAAAACCTGATCGGTGCATCCCTATTTTTTAGACCTTTTTATGGTTATATGTTACGAAGCCATCAATATTTTTCAACAACTGGGCATCATTTGATTCATTTTCAACAACATTTTGATGGATATTTCCGGAAATTAATGGTAAAAGCTACACATTGTCTCTTTAAAAGGTAGACATCCGAGGTTTCCCTCAGGCCTTAAGAGTTACAGCAGTAGCAGCCAACTAGTGGGGGCTTGCTGTAGTCTAGTGCTTGAGCTGACGGAGCAGTGCAGTGGGTTGTTTTTGTCTGTAATTTTTTCTCCATGCTGCTGCTACAGACAATGATATTAATGACAGTGGTCCTGTCTCTGTCTATTTTCTGTCCCGCATCTCCGTTTATGAGTGTGCGATGCGACACTGATTCTCCAGATTCTGCTAGAGCGAAATGACCCGAAGAGGACTAGAAAGCACAAATTCTCTTTAAAATCCCACTTAAATTTTTCTGATTGCACAAATTGTTACAGAGTTCCTGTAATTCAATGTAAACATGTTAGATATGTTGGCTTTTAGTGTTTTAGTCGTGTTTCAGTAAGAAACAATAAATCTTCAGGTGGCCCGATGTCATATACCATACAGGGAAAACTCTGCTTACATGTTTTAAATAATGAAGACATTTGGGTTTCTACCTTACATTATTAGAGTACCAGCTTCTAATGGTGTCATTTCCTGAGCTGTTTGTAAACATTATTGTGAAGTTGTGCTGAAGCTTGATTTGAATAAAATTGTGAATCAAATTTCTGCCAGAAAAATCAGTTCAATGTTTTCCTAAAACCATTCATCCCCACAGATAGGTGAAGCTGGCCTTCATGACAAACATCAGTCTTATGACTGTAACTTCACTATTGAGCAGAGTATCATTTTAATCTCAGGATAGATGTTTGCTGTGGTTATTTTAACCTAAACGAAGAATGCCTCATTAAGAACATTTACTCCTTCTGATCCCATGAAACGTGGAACATCGCTAAGCTTCTTCCTTGCTTTGTTGTAATCTAACACATAAAACATGTTTAACGAACTATATTATCACAATTATCAGTTTGACACAAGAGTTTGTTTGACAAGTTAAAGACGTTCTTGTAATGTTCTAAAAGAACTCGTGGAGATGAGAACACGCTCAGCAGGTTGTGTTGTCTCTGTTGTTTACAGAACAACAAGCTTCCTCAGCCTCCAGCCTTCATCTTCCTCATTGACGTGTCCTACAATGCAGTGAAGAGCGGCATGGTCAGCATCGTCTGCCATGAACTCAAGAGCCTGTTGGACCACCTGCCCAGGTATTCAGACACAGATGTAGGGTGGGGTTAGTAAGGAAGAGGATGGAGAAAAGTAGAAGTCTCTTCGAACTAAAGGGTTCAGAATCGCTAAAGAAACAAGTGAATGATCTCTTCTTGTTTCTGTCTCTCAAATCCAGGGAAAACCCAGAAGTGGACTCTGTGGTGCGGGTGGGGTTTGTCACCTACAACAAGGTGTTGCATTTCTACAATGTGAAGGCGAGCCTGGCGCAGCCCCAGATGCTGGTGGTGTCAGACGTGTCGGACATGTTTGTGCCTCTGCTCGATGGGTTTTTGGTCAACGTGAACGAGAGCCGGCAAGTTATTGAGAGGTGAGAAGACCTAAAGCAGACGTGTGGGTAAACGGGAGCGGGGACAGCTGGTCGGATACATTGATTAGGTTTTAATTAGGGATGCACGATATATCGGCATCAATATCGGTATCGGCGATGTTGGTCATTTTTGAACATATCGGTATCGGTCTGATAAGTACAACTGGGTTGATGTTAACAACCAATATTTTTTTCCATCTTGTTTCCGTTTGTGTATCTGTTTCAGAGGGTAAGGGTGTGTAAGTGTTTAGTCCTGTGACAGTGATAGTAATCATCTCAGAAGCATAAGTGTGTGTGTGTGTGTGTGTGTGTGTGTGTGTGTGTGTGTGTGTGTGTGTGTGTGTGTGTTGCAAATTCCACTTTATAGAAATAATGCAAAACATTCAAAAATTCTGCCTGCATAATTTCAGTCAATCCAAAATTAGCTGATTTCAGAAGCATAAATCGGTATCGGCCCAAAAATTTCATATTGGTGCATCCCTAGTTTTAATGACATGTTTGTGCTGTTCAGCTTGTTGGACCAGATCCCGGAGATGTTTGCAGACACCAGGGAGACGGAGACAGTCTTTGGACCTGTCATCCAAGCTGGACTGGAGGCATTGAAGGTAAATAAACTCTGGTGGACTTTATTCTAATTAAAATATGTGTTTATTTTCTTGTCGCCGTGATGCTGGATTATAGAGATGATTACGCTTGATGGGAAAGGTTGGGCAGTTGTAAAGCTGTAGATGTTTATGGATGCCAGATCTTAAATGCATGACGGAGGGGTTGTAACGTCTCTGTTGGGGTCTGTGACTGGACTTTTATTTTGTTTCCAGGCTGCTGACTGTGCAGGGAAGCTGTTTGTGTTTCACACCTCTCTGCCCATCGCTGAGGCTCCTGGAAAACTAAAGAACAGAGAAGACAAGAAGTTAATTGGGACAGACAAGGAGAAGGTGAACATCTACACAGATTTGTTTTAGTTTTCATCTGAACGTAAGGCCTTAGGAGATCTAACATGGTAAATGGATACGATAGCAAAAAATATTCTACAACACTTGTGCGCGCTTTTTTTATATATTTAAAATAAAACAGAATAACAGTTGGATTACTAAGGGACCTGTTGCTAAAACAAGCCAGGCCCTTGTTGCTATGTACCTGTCTTCCTGCATTTATGCGACTAAATATACACATTTATTTTGTAGGTGAACAAATGTGCAGAAAAAAATCCTTCAAATAAAGCATTTTCTAAAAGATATTTTCAAATGACTTCATTTATTCTTCATGCTTCATGTGTGTTTTAAATTTGGAACATGATGAAGCTGAAAGACTGTATAATAGTTCAGGAGCTTTGTTGTGTTAATCAGTTTCCCTCTGGGATTAATAAAGTATTTTTGAATTGAATTGAGTTTTCATCTCTCTTCTTTTTTGTCTTCTGCCATCCACAGTCGCTGTTTCAGCCTCAGGTGGGATTTTACAACAACCTGGCGAAGGAGTGTGTAGCTCAGGGCTGCTGTGTGGATCTGTTCCTCTTCCCTAACCAGTATGTGGACGTTGCAACGCTAGGAGTGGTTCCTGTCTCCACGGGGGGCTCGGTCTACAAATACACCTATTTCCAGGTGAATAGAACTCTGCTGAAGAAGATTTTTAGTTGTAGTTTTATTATGTATCCAGTTATGTACTCTTCTTTTATCTGAGTATTTTCATCCCCACAGGCTCAGACAGATCAAGAACGATTCCTGAATGACCTCAGGCGAGACCTTCAGAAACACGTTGGCTTTGACGCTGTCATGAGGGTGCGAACAAGCACCGGTGAGTCTTCAGTGCTTTAAGCCAAACGCGACACGCGGCTGAACAGACAGGCAGACAAACTGAGCGATACAGAGAGTGATTTCACAGCTTGTGTTTCTGTCTCCTTCAGGGATCAGAGCCACAGACTTCTTTGGCTCCTTCTACATGAGTAACACCACAGACGTGGAGCTGGCCGGTCTGGACTGCGACAAGGCCATCACCGTCGAGTTCAAACATGACGACAAGTTGAGTGAAGAGACGGGGGCGCTCATGCAGGTTTGGCTGTTTGTAATCACGTCTGTGAAGTAGAAATCATGAACTCTGTGTGGGTGCTAACATGGACGAATACAGAAACTCAGCTGCTGCTGTTGTCTTCCTGCAGTGTGCCGTTCTGTACACAAGCTGCAGCGGTCAGAGGCGTCTCCGCATCCATAACATGGCCGTTAACTGCTGCTCTCAGCTGGCTGACCTCTACCGCAACTGTGAGACCGACACAATCATCAACTACTTCTCCAAATATGGTGAGATTTACACAAACACCTTTTGTGTTTGGGTGTGAGAGGTGCATTTGGCAGTTAGCTATATTTATCAGTAATTATTGTGTGTCTTTGTGTTCTGCAGCTTTCCGGGGGGTTCTGAGCAACCCCACCAAAGCAGTGAGAGATACGCTGGTCAACCAGTGTGCTCAGATCCTGGCCTGCTACAGAAAGAACTGTGCAAGTCCTTCATCTGCTGGCCAGGTACTGAACCCCTCAGTAGACATGCAGAAGCACGCGTGAACATCATTCACATAAATGTACAAATGCAGCTTTCCCATTTAGCTGTTCAGCTTTCTGGGCAGAGCTCTTTAACAAACGGCTAATCTTCCGTCTGTTTGTTTTCGTTTGTTTGTTTGTCCAGCTTATTCTTCCAGAGTGCATGAAGCTGCTTCCTGTCTATCTGAACTGTGTGCTGAAGAGCGACGTCCTGCTGCCGGGAGCCGACGTCTCATTGGACGACCGGGCTTACCTCAAGCAGCTGATCAGCTGCATGGACGTCGCTGACACACACGTCTTCTTCTACCCCCGCCTGCTGCCAGTGGTGAGAACGTCTAAACTTAAACTGTCCATGCGCGCCAGATCCTGGAACTGAGGGCCATATATGTGCTGCTGATGAAAGTGTGTGTGTGTGTGTGTGCGTGCGCGTGCACGCTCAACTTTAAAATTGACTCAAGCTGCTTTTTAGAAGCTGATTGGTTAAACGCTGAAGAACAGGTGAATAAAATGTCACAAAGGATTTTCTCATTAGATTCTGAAGGTCAAAGTATATAAATAGAAACTCTACAGATTAAAGCATTTGTCAGTTTCACACACCAGCTGATCACATTGTGTGTGTGTCTCATTCTTTCTTTTCCAAATGTTTCAGATGAAATTGGAAAGCGGCTCTTTGCCGGTGGCAGTAAGGGACTCGGAGGAGAGGCTGTCTAAGGGCGGAGTTTACTTGATGGAGACTGGGCTTCATCTCTTCCTGTGGGTGGGAGCCAGCGTTCAGCAGGAGCTGCTGCTCAACCTCTTCGGCACGCCAAGCTTCAGCCAGATCGACTCGAGCATGGTGAGAGGAGACGCATCAGCTCCGCTTCGTTCTCCATAGCTGCCTTTTCCGGGGGTTTGATCCTGGAATGTTAGAGAGGGAGGAGAATCGCAATCAATCCGCTTGTCTGGGAAAACTCAGCTGTATAAATCTTTGCTGTTGCTGATGAAAAAGTAAAGCTGTATAATCCTAATCCATAGTTAAAAAAACTAGAATGTTTAGTAAAAGTTATCCCATTGAACAGTGTTTATAACTATATGTCTACATTTTATTTATTAGTAAACGTGGGAGTGTTTGTTTGTCCTGACCGTCGCTGTTGTGCGTTCCAGATAAATTTGCCTGTTCTGGACAACCCGTTCTCACAAAGACTCCGAGAGATCATCGACTCCTTCAGAGCTCAGCGGTCTCGATACATGAAGGCAAGCCTTCCTTTTTTCTAATGTCTCAGATTTCATTCAACTTTTGGTTGTTTTACTCTTATTTTAATATGCATGTGTTTAGTTTTCCTTTCCCTTTGAGCGTTTGAGTACAGCCACTATAGAGCTCTGTTCCTGTGTTGGTTCAGTCGTAGTAAATACCTAACAGATGGAGAAATTTTTAAAATTAGAACGCAAAACCTGGTTCGTCTTGGGTTTTGTTATTTTTACGTTATGTAGTTTATAACCGTGTAATATTTGGTTTGGCTGTGAAGTTTTTAAGGAATTTCTTTAGAAATTTTAGTTATGTTCAGTTTTTAAACAATACAGGTGCTGGCCAGTAAATTAGAATATCATCAAAAGGTTGAAAATATTTCAGTAATTCCATTCAAAACGTGAAACTTGTACATTATATTCATGCAATGCACACAGACCAATGTATTTCCGATGTTTATTACGTTTAATTTTGATATTTATAGGTGACAACCAATGAAAACATCAAATCTGGTATCTCAGACAATTAGAATATTCTAAAGGCCAATGAAAAAATGTTTGTTTCTCTAATGTTGGCCAACTGAAAAGAATGAACATGAAAAGAATGTGCATGTATAGCACTCAATACTTAGTCGGGGCTCCTTTTGCCTCAATAACTGCAGTAATGCGGCGTGGCATGGACTCGATCAGTCTGTGGCACTGCTCAGGTGTTATGAGAGCCCAGGTTGCTCTGATAGTCGTCTTCAGCTCCTCTGCATTGTTGGGTCTAGCGTATTGCATCCTCCGCTTCACAATACCCCATAGATTTTCTATGGGGTTAAGGTCAGGCGAGTTTGCTGGCCAATCAAGGACAGGGATACCATGGTCCTTGAACCAGGTGCTGGTGGTTTTGGCACTGTGTGCAGGTGCCAAGTCCTGTTGAAAGGTGAAGTCTGCATCCCCATAAAGTTGGTCAGCAGCAGGAAGCATGAAGTGCTCTAAAACTTCCTGGTAGACGGCTGCATTGACCCTGGACCTCAGGAAACAGAGTGGGCCAACACCGGCAGATGACATGGCACCCCACACCATCACTGACGGTGGAAACTTTACACTGGACCTCATGCAACGTGGATTCTGTGCTTCTCCGCTCTTCCTCCAGACTCTGGGTCCTTGATTTCCAAAGGAAATGCAGAACTTGCTTTCATCAGAAAACATAACTTTGGACCACTCAGCATCAGTCCAGTCCTTTTTGTCCTTGGCCCAGGCGAGACGCTTCTTGCGCTGTTTCTTGTTCAAGAGTGGCTTGACACACGGAATGCGACACCTGAATCCCATGTCTTTCATGAGTCTCCTCGTGGTGGTTCTTGAAGCGCTGACTCCAGCTGCAGTCCACTCTTTGTGGATCTCCCCCACATTTTTGAATGGGTTTGTCGTCACAATTCTCTGCAGGGTGCGGTTATCCCTAGAGCTTGTACACTTTTTTCTACCACATTTTTTCCGTCCCTTCGCCTGTCTGTTAATGTGCTTGGACACAGAGCTCTGCGAACAGCCAGCTTCTTTAGCAATCACCTTTTGTGTCTTGCCCTCCTTGTGCAAGGTGTCAATGATTGTCTTTTGGACAGCTGTTAAGTCAGAAGTCTTCCCCATGATTGTGGTGCCTTCAAAACAAGACTGAGGGACCTTTTAAAGGCCTTTGCAGGTGTTTTGAGTAAATCAGCTGATTAGAGTGGCAGCAGGTGTCTTCTATATTCAGCCTTTTCAGAATATTCTAATTTTTTGAGATACCAAATTTGGAGTTTTCATTAGTTGTCACTTATGAATATCAAATTTAAATGTAATGAACATTGGAAATACATTGGTCTGTGTGCATTGCATGAATATAATGTACAAGTTTCACGTTTTGAATGGAATTACTGAAATATTTCCAACCTTTTGATGATATTCTAATTTACTGGCCAGCACCTGTATATTTAATTCCAATGAATAATTATTGATTTTTTATTTTTTTACTTGAAACTAAAATGATGGTTTAAATTCAAACGTGGAGCTCAGAGTTTTATCCCTCCTCCACCTGTATGGCCTTTTTTTGGATTTATTCATCTAAAGGCAAACCTAAAGAGCCAAGTTCGCTGAGAAACTGCTTTTTATGTAGCAGTAACATGCAGGGAAAATGTGAAAATAGTTTTCTACTCTTCTTTCCAGCATTAGCAGGAAAATAAACGAGGAAACGCTCAGATGAGAAAAGCCAAATCTACCTCTCACTGTAAAATCTACTCGCTCATCTTGGCTCAGGACAGAGAAGGCTGTTGTCGGTTTAGCATCCAGGAGAAAGCGGAACACATCTCAGCTAGGAGAAGCAAACCATTAGCATTAGCAACTCCACCTCATGGCAGAACTCCTCCAGACTTGTGTTATTTATTTGGTTTGTTTGCATTAGTTAGTTTTGGCTTATGCCACTGATAGTCTTGCTATCTCTTTTTGTTTTGGTGTTTCAAAGGAGGACCCCCTTGAAAACGAGATGATGCATCTCAAGGGGTTTCATCCTCTAGAAATATAAGTAAATAAATAAATAAATATTCGTGAAGATTAAACATCAACGTTGCAGAGCAAACAGAGCCGTGTTGCTGTTAGCCAGCCAATCAGAGGAGAGTTGTCCAAATATCATAATAATACGGGACTCCAAATCCTTACGTGTTCTGCTCCGGCTCACTTCTAGCTCCTGAAACAGGAGCGTAAGAGTCATGAGTCATGTTCTTACACTGTACGACCCAATGCTCAGAAGCAATCAGATTTTTCACGCAGTATGTGTGGTTGCAACACGTCAGACCTAAAAATATCATAAAAATAGTTGTTTCTACCTAGAGCTGGGCGATATGGCCTAAAATCAATATCACGATATATTGAGGATTTTACCTCGATAACGATAAATGTACGATAACTACAGGTATGCGCAGAAACAGAAGTTGTCCACTAGATGGGTTTGTCACGTGTATTATGTTGAGTCACATTTTTACGCGACTCAAGGTGGTACAGCTTCTTAAAGGGACATGAATGCTGCCAACCTACACACATCTTTTTTTTTTTATAGTCAAATTTATTGACATGGGAAAAATTATCACAATAAGAGTCAGAAATTTCGATAACGATAAATTTTCGGTTTATTGCCCAGCCCTATTTCTACCCAACACATTGGATCTTCGAGTTCAATAAAACGTGGGTGAGATGAGACTGTTATGCTGGTATTGATGTCCTTCAGACTTGTCAGAGATGGAGGAGGACACGCATTAATGGCATGTAGGACGGTTTGGCAATCCGGTTTTATTATTTTATAGAAACAACTAACCTTTCAGAGATACTCACCTGAGAACTGTGTGCTTTCTTGACAATCTTTGCCATTGTGTTTATAGAAAAGTGTAAAGAAAAAAGAAGACATGATAGGGCTGCACAGTATATCGTTATCAGCATGCGCAATATGCATATCACAAAGAACAGATATTGCAATGAATGGTTCGCTCAAATGTTTGCTACACATAATCCATTCTGTCAATCAAACGGAAGCATGATGTTTTTTAACAAATCAAATAGAGCTCTTCACCCATTTGGCCAATTGGGTGGGTTCTCATATGTTAGATGCCCGCCCCCGAGGCAGATGGCACTTAATTTTGATGGTTAGCAAACACATGAGAGCTTTCTTCAGCTCTTTCTGCTAATTCTGCTTTTCCCAGGATCCACTGATTCCTTTTTCTTGTTCATTTTCTTTTTCCCGTTCCACACATCTTTTGCTTTTCTCATATTTATGATTTTTTTAGTCATTTTTTAATTTGTTTTTGATTAGTTTGGTTCCCGAGTAAATTTTTTATTTATCGCAAGTAATATTGTCATCGCAAGTTTTCCTAATATCGTGCAGCCCTAAGACATGACATGTGTAGACACGGAAATAGCTGGGCAGATGTTTTGGATCATGTGCTGTGTGAGCGTTTTTGGTACATTTGGGTCATAGCGCTGCTAGACACTGCAATACCCTCACAAAGAATGAGCAGAATATCAAACATTTTTGATTTTCGTGTAACCAAATGACTGCTGGTCAGGAGCTGTTTTTGAGGTGTTAATCGCTTCTTGTTACCCCTGTAAACTACACTCTAACTCGGCATCTCATAGATCATCAGAAGAGAGGAGAATTGGCTCAAATTGGGACGAAAATTGTACCATGTACGCTCGGCTTTAAATCAAAGAACTAGTCCATCAGAATGCAATCCTTGAAGTTGGAGCCAAATCAAAACTAGTGCCCCCTGTAACTGGTTCCAGTATGATTTTAATCCCTCTACATCGACAAATAAAACTTAGCTCTTGTTAAAATTTTTAAAAATACACCTTAGATATTTCTACCCAGCCCTTATGTCAAGTGGTCAGACTCCTGACTCCAAAAAGCCTACATTTTATCACCTGGAACTCACATGTCATAGCTCTTCTACAACATGAAAACAGAGAATGCCCTACTCTCTAACCTTTCCCATCTCTATTCTCATTTTCCAGCTGGTGGTGGTGAAACAGGAAGACAGAACCGAGCTGATATTTCGACACTTCTTGGTGGAGGACAAGAGCGCCAGTGGGGGAGCTTCGTACGTGGATTTCTTGTGTCACATGCATAAGGAGATCCGCCAGCTTCTCAGCTAGGCCCTGAGATCCCCGCCTCCACCACAAACACGCCCCTTTAACCAGACCTGGTCACCTTTCACCCTCTAATATTTTTTTAACTGTATAAACTAAAACTATTCTTACCATCTGTCAGCTGAGCTCCAGAAACCAGCTCCCAGATCCATCATGTGTATGAAAACGTGTGTTTGGAGAGAGACTGAGAGCAAGATGTTAGTAAAGCCTCAGATCCACAGCTCCAACACAACTGACCGGGAAAAGGTGTGCGTGTGCGTGTGCGTGTGCGTGTGTGTGTGTGTGTGTGCGTGCGTGCGTGCGTGCGTGCGTGCGTGCGTGCGTGTGTGTGTGTGTGTGCGTGCGTGTGTGTGTGTGAATGCTTATGTATGTAACAGACTGAGATAAGAGGGCTGATGTTAACTGTAGTTGCTGTACTGTCTGTATTACTAGCACTGAAAGGCTTTTTTGGGATCATAATTGAATAGCAAACACTTTTTATATGATTGAGTCCCAATCCAATGAAAGACATTAATGTATGGAAAATAAAAGGAAATAAATGCTGTCTAGATGACTCTTATCCACTTTAATCATGGCATCCCTAACGTGCGTGCGTGCGTGTGTGTGTGTTATGTTCAGATGTGAGGATTAGCTGCCATTTGCCTCATTTTTAATCTGCTTTGAATCCAGATGGATGCATCTGGATTTGGGGGTAGCTCAAACCGAGGTCTGAAAATGCAGAAACAATTTAGAACAAAATAATTGTTTGATTTCACTGATCAAACTAAATAGAGAATAACTGTTTACAACAAATAAATCAAACTCATTTGTTTAAATCCACTTTCTGAGTGGTGCCAGCATCTGGCATTAATGTCTGGACTGTTATGAGCTAGATGTGCCCTTCAGATTATTTGTCATGGGATTAAACTCCCCTTATGCAGCACAGGGAGAAGGCTGCAGTGGTGTGGACAGTTGCAGACTTTATATTCGTTCTAATTTGGACGTTTGGAGAGAAAATTATCCAGTGATCACAGAATGATGGCTGATGAGTGAAAACAAGATTGTAAGGCTATTCAGTGTGTAAATACAATATATAATCTGTACAGAATTAAAAAACAATAGCTATTTTAAAAACAAGCCTGAGCCAGAATATAAACAAGGCTTTACTAAAGAGAGGGAGGTGGGATTTTGGATGTTTCTGCATGTGTGTGTGAATGTGAGTTGGTTCTAGTGAATTTCTCATGAGGAACAGAGGGATCAGCCAACACACACACAAAACCCCCGAGATTGAACTCATCTCTTCGTTTGTTTTTAACCATGTGATTTTTGTGTTTGGTGCGTGCAGCCCTCGGTTCCGTCTACACTTTCACTGACTCGCAGTGACCCATCATCATGACTGTAAACCTTTGTTTCTGTTTCTGATTTCTTTGATTCTTTTTCTTTCTCCATTGCCTCTTGGGATTGCTAATAAAACGATTGTTTAAAGTGAAACTCCACATTTGGGTTCTGCTATTCCTGACGTCTTTCTCACCTAAAATGTCTGTAAAACACGTGTGTGTGTGTGTGTGTGTTTGTTTAATCCAAGTCCAGATCTGGTTTTCACTCGCTTCATGGGAATTTAAAAACACGAGTTTCAGGTCCTGTTTTTAATAATTATGCTGACTAGTTTCCTGAGAAAGGGTTTGTAGATGAGACTACTGGTACATGCTCTTCATTTCTGCCTTTTTGAGCAGTTGGGATTTTTTTTATATCCATGAGAAATTAATTTGGTCATCCTTGCTTTGAATCCCAATTAATGGTTTTCAAAATGGAATCAGTCCAACAGAGGTGCTTCAAAATGAGTCAACTCAAAGGTACTAAAAATAACTAAAAGTAGATTAACAATAAAAGTTCAAGTCCCATCAGTTGTCACGCAAACATTTGTTCTCTGCATTTGACCCATCCCCTAGGGGAGCGTTGAGCTGCAGACACAGCCGCGCTCGGGAACTATTTGGTGGTTTAATTCCCCAATCTAACCCCTTAATGCTGAGTGTCAAGCAGGGAGGCGTTCGGTCCCATTTTTTCAAAGTCTTTGGTATGACCCGACCAGGAATCAAACCCTGATCTCCCAGTCTCAGCTCGGACACTACCACTAGGCCAGAGCTGATCTAATCACGCATAAAATACATAATTTTGTAAACACTTTTTATTTAGGTTGGGGAAATATGTAGGGATTTTCGATGTTTGCTTTTTTACCGATATCTGATATATTTTGACTCAAGTTCTGATACCAATATAAACTGATGGCGACATGTGGGGTCCCCTATAATAAAAAAAGGAAAATGAAAATATTTTAGGTCGCTAACATAACATATCTCCTATTGTTCATTCTTACTTTTTAAACATTTTCTGTGCAAAAGGACAACCACTTCTATTTAAGTTCATAGGAAAAGTGCCATATTTATTTGGTCTCCAAAAGCAGCTGAATCTTTCTCCCTAAGATGCTAAGATGTGTATTAGTAATTTTTTTTTCTGAATATTTTAGCTATGGTGATAAAACAAACATTTTCACATAAGAAAAGCATGCCTTGGGTGAAGATTCTTGTTTTTGTTTGTTAGCACCTAGCTACACGTAGCTAGCTGTGAGGACAGCATATGTTCCCTACATAGGGAAATTTTCTATTTCAAAAGTTCTGCCACATAAACAAAAATATCTCAAAAACTACCTCAGATCGGTTATATTTTTACATTTTGCGAGAGAGAAGTAATGGAAGGGTGTGACGTATAAATTGTGCATGGTATGTAAAAGTACAATTAAAACTAAACCAATACTAATATATTACATCTTAATGCCGATAATGGTGGACCAATAATATATTGCATCCCAAGAAATAAGTATCACCCATTTGTCATTCGCTGATGTTTAAGATTTGCAGTAAATTTAAAAGATATTAAACAAGTAAAGTTAATCTAAAGAGCAGAGATCAGTCAAATTAATAGTTTAAATGTTGCTCAGAGACAGGTCTGCAAATAAACCTTTGAATAAAAGTTTCATGTTCACTGAAGTTATTTCTTTAAGCTCTTTAAATGATTAAGCACAACTAATCTTTTGAAAAAACAGGTAACTATTTAATTTTCCAAAATTACCTGTTTTTATTATTTACTTCAGGTGATTTCAGTCAGAATAAAGTTTGGTGATTTCCAAAGATGCTTTTATCTGTTTGTGGAAATGAACTCTTCATTTACAAAAGATTAGATGAGAAAAGATGACAAAAGTAAACATCCAACAATCAGCAGATAGTCCAGTGTATTGTTTACTCCCAAAATGCCAGGATTTTGAAGCTTAACAGACATCAACATGTAATTAAACCATAACCAATATGCATTTTTAAAAAATCACCATCAAATAATACTTGACTCTTATATTAACCAATATTAATCAAAGATGACGCTTTTTAAACGACCTATCTACAGCAAAAAGTTCAGTGGCGCAGGTATGATGCCATACAAGTATGAGGGGCTGAGTGAGTGAACTCGTGCCACTTATACACTAGCATAGACTCCACTCCGCTACAGCCTGGCCGTGTTTCTTCCACACTGCCTTAGGAATGTGGACATGATTGAGCACATGGGGGTCTGTGGTCTGTGATGTCATGAACGCATCTCCAAACACGTGGGCGGGGCAAAAGAACCGGAGAATTCCGCATTGTTTCCATTAAAGCGGCCTGAGCAGTCTTACTTTTGGAGATTCTGACTGATTTTGCATCCTGCTTTGGTGTGTGTGCGCGTGCTCCTCACAGCAGTGAGAAACAGAGGAACAATTAATTGCTTCAGTTAGAGGCTCCTTAACTCCACAGCATTCAAAATGATAATGAATCATGCATGTGGGAAGCCTCTGCAAGCTGATTCTATCTGCCAATCGAAGTCTCCTCCAAATGGCATGTGTGATTTTGAGCTAGCCAGCCAGTCAGCAGTGGGCGTGTTGGACCAGTTTGGCTCCAGGGAAAAGGGCTGAAAAGACATCCGGTTGCGCGCGGAAAAATCCAAGGCTACGAGAACACTCCAAACCTAGTCCAGACATAGTGGAGCTGATGCTATTGTGTTAAGTTTGTTTGTTCTATTTGTATAGGCTCCGCCCTTTAAGGTTGTCATTGGATGAGCCATTCTTGGGTTAGCCAATCACTGAAGAGCTTTCAATAGCCCTATTCTGGTATAAAATGGGTGCCTAGCCCCCCACTCGTCTCACATTTTTCTCTTCACAACGCCTTCAATAAGAGCTCAGTGTAAAGTTTTCCCATGTTAGCTTGCTAACATGTGTACTAATTTGGAACAGATTACCTTACCGATTCTCTGACCACAGATAGTCACCTGAGAAGGGCTCATCCAGTGGCAGCCTTAATGGGCTGCGCCTATATTCATAGAATCTGGGGTTACAATTCGTAACCGTGGTTTTTTTTTACTCTAAGTAATGCCAGAGCTTAACAGCAGCTTAGTACCAAGACTCTAAACTAGCTAGAATATCATGAGTTTAAGTGGCAGCTTGGAACAAGAAATGAACCAATAGATTTGGGTTTTGTGAATGAGCTGAATCAAAAGCCAAAGTTCTCAAATGTTCAGACTGTGTTCTAACCTTATGGTCATGAGATTTAGCTCATTTCCAAAAGGATAAGATCCCAGGTACTAGAGGCTTAAAGGGGATTCCTGCCAAGCTCAGACTGGAAATTAGGTGAAGAGCTGCTTCTCTTCACCAGAGAAGGTCACCTGAGCTGATTTGGTCATCTGGTTTTCTTCTGTAAGGAGACCCGAGGCCAGAACCAGTTACCCCTGCTTGCTGTGGGGACAACATATCTTGAACACCAGGATCCTGGAGGATCTATTTTCTTATGTCATACATGAAAAGAAAACACAATCAGTCAGAGTTTATCATTTTACCCATCTATACAGGGCGATTCTGATTTTAGCACCTCTGTATTCTGTAAATGTCACATTAAACATCAGGCTCAGTAATTCAGAGTTGAGTAGAAGTCTTAGAACCTGATTTCCCTAAACCAGGACACACGTATTAGCACAGTTGCACTACCGAGTCCACCCAGCCCAGGTGAAACCCAGGATACACCGGCTCAGTGAATGTGGTGTGGAAGGTGTGGAAGAGAGTGAGTTCACCACAGGACACCTTATAGAAAGACAGCATTCCTGCAGGCCAGTCCAGATACACTCCTACTTTATTGCAGCCGGCTGAAGCGGGCACAGCATCATTTGTGTTTCCATGCAGAATCCTGTAACCATCTTTGTTGCAGTTCAGGCACCAGGAATTGTCATTCCGACCTAACCAGCATTCATGGCCCTCCCCCTTCCTGTTCATCCGTCGATAGGCCACTCCTAGGCCGACCCTTCCGCACCACTCTGTCTCCCAGTAGCAGCGTCCCGTCAGTCCCTCCTTGCACAGTACCTGAGTCCAGAAATCAAACCTCTCTGGATGATCAGGATATGGCTGCTTGGTCCAGCGTTTTGCTTTCCTGTTCCCCTCCAAAAGAGTAAGATCTTTATGAGCTGTGTTTGGGTCAAGGGTCAGTCTACTGGCATCTGATGAGTCAGATTTAAGAATGTGTTAGAAAGAAACAACTAGTTACATAAAAATAGAAAACAGAGCTACATGTTGATTTCTTACATTTCTTTGGACCAGGCTGGATTCTGGATTCACCGCACTGCTCCACACTGAAATACAACAGAAAACCAAATGTTTCATTGATACTTCTATAACTGCAATGTGCTGCTTGTTCATTGAGACTCTAATTGAGCTCAATGATCGCTACCTGAGTGCGTTCAGGCTGCAGTGTGGGTCCTCCAGCAGAGCAGTCAACAGCATCAGGCCAGAGTTTCCAGGGTGGTTGTAGCTCAGGTCAAGTTTTCTCAGGCGGGATGAGTTCAGGGCAGATGCAAGGAAAGTGCAACCCTCTTCTGCAACTCTGCACCCTGACAAACTTTAATAGAAGACAACAATAACATTAACATGGATGACCTCTGGATGACAGCTGATGGATCCTTTCTGCACTCTGGAGTCTTACATGAGTTGCTCCAGTTTACAGGAAGGACTTGCCAAACCAGTAGAGAATGTCTTGACTCCTACATCCTGAAAGTCATTGTCTGTGAGATCCAGAACTTTCAGTTGGCAAGACATGAGGCTGATGACTGATGCCAGAGTATCAGAGCTGTTATTTGTCAGGCTGCAGCTTTGAAGTCTAAACAAAGCAAAAATAAATAAAGTAAAAACAAGAATCATCTGTATTGAGCACAGTTTGGATGTGGGCATGAAGCTGACCTGAGTATTTTCAGTTTGCTGCTCTTGAGTCCATCAGAGAGCTGCATCAGCCCTGCATCTGTCAGCTCGTTGTTGCTCAGGTCCAGCTCTCGAAGTTGGGATGAGCTGATGACATCAGCCAGGTTTGCACAGCATGTCATAGTGAGGTTGCATGCATTCAGACTGTAGGGGAAATACGAGACATAGGAGGCCATGATGGTGCATCATGTGAAGATTAGAAACGAGACAAGTTGTTTTTTGTCGTTTTGTCTTGTGGTACCGAGAGAAAATCCTAGGTGACCAGAAGTTAAATTGGTTGGGTCCACCGGAAGGGACTTGTTAAACAAATTCCTGGGATGCTGTATTGGTATGATTAAAAGGATGCACTAGAGCGGCAGAGAGAAAGATAAACAGATTCCGGGAATGCTGCATTGGCTTGGTTTTTAGCGTTTTAGCCGGAAAAATGGAAACGCAACTCTGGTGTGATAAAGTGATGAATGAAAAGACCGGTGTGATAACTAAGAGGTTAAATTGGTTCTGTCTGCCGGAAGGGACAGGTTAACAGGTTCTCTGAATGCTGTATTGGCTGGGTTTTGAGTGTTTTAGCTGAAAGTAGAAATGCAACTCTAGTTATCTTTGTTTGTTTTAAATGTTGTCTGCTTTAACTGTTGTTAGAATGAATGAGAGAGTGCCTGGGCTTGCTTTATTCTTGTAGAAAGAAGGATATTGCAACTCATTTGCACACGTCTCACATATCGGTGGTCAGATTTTTAAACAGGTTGGCTGATAAGACATAAATCGGATCCCGCTGTGTCAGAACACAGTTGCAGGGTGGATTCGTAAGCCTAAACCTGACCTCATGCCGAAGAAAAGACGATGTGGTATCTAAATATGGGAATAAGAACTCACAAAACACCTTTTGAGTAAATACTGTACATTGATGGAAATGTAAATCCAGGAAATGGGGAAATGATCTGAAAATTATCAGAGGATTGATGGAAAACATGATTTTGATAACTGCTGACGTGTTACACTTGCAGGGTAACCTTAGAGTTGAGATAGTAAAAAAGGGAAATGAGAAATTACAAATGAACTATCAGGATTATGGTTACGAGGAAGCACAGAGCGGTGGAGAGAATGAAAAGCTGGTGCTCGGAACCGCTCGAGGTCACACATTTGTGGTCTGAAGGTTACTTAACTAGAAATGAGATGAAAAGTTAAGCACTGACCAAATATTTAATTTCTGGTATTTGGTGACAAATGTAATTTGAACTATGAACCGTGTCACTTTTGGTGGCTGAAAGGGAAAGGGTTTTAATGGAACCCCTCGATTTGAGAAATTGACTGTTTATCGGTACTTGATAGTAAAAGAGAGCCCAATAAAAGCTAAGTATGTAGGTTTTAGTTGAAACGTCTTGGACTGAGAGATTGACTGTGTGGTTAACAGTAATCCCAGACCAACAAAACTAGTGACTATTGTCAAATTGCATTTTATCTCCTTATTTTTGTTTTTAAAATCTTAAGTCTCTGACAATGAAAATCAAGACGAAGGGATTTTCAATATACAGACAGATGACACCCGGGTGACAGATCTGGTGTGCAGTGCCTGTTGAAGTCAAAAACTGCATTTTGAACACTGTAAAAAATATTGTTTGTCATAAACTGAATCTCCTGGCTTCTGTTGAATGTAGGAACTTGTTCAGATCTCCAATTAGCAGACCTTGTGATCAGAACAAGGGGAGAAACTGTCTGGAAGTAAGATTAACAATGGGACAGCAGACTGAAGCTGTTATAGGAAATTTACATTTAAAAAGCTTAATTTGTTTTAATTCTTCATGTATTCTCAGCTTGAGAACTTTTAAATGCTTTAACACAGAATTTCACGCTCCTCTCTGCCTGAGTCAAGAATATCAGACACAACAATAGTAGCAAGAACAGCAAGGTCTTATCGAAAAGAAAACATGTATCCTAACCGACCTTGGTCTCAAGTAAGGCAATATTCTATCAGCCATGTGATTCTTAAGCAGAAATCAGAAAATACTTCAAAATATAATTCCTGAAAGAAAAACAAAACCAAAAAAAAAAAGAAAGAGTAACTCAGAGTTAATGCTTTAACTTACATATGGGGTTTGCACACTTTGAAATTTAGTATGAAGTTGCTGAACAGTTTGATTTGAGGTCTTCTGTCCTCTTTGGAATGTAAATATCAACATCGGCCCATGTTTTCGGAACCGGTAGAGATTATGTTAATGTTGACACAGCCTGCTCAACCTTGTATGCTTTAGAATTTGGAGAAATAAAACTTCTGCAGTTTCTGACTGAAACATTTAATGGTGGTAAATTTAAATCAATAAATGAACAGACTTATTGCAGAACACATCAAATAGCTAATTTTGTAAATGGCCAAATATTTAATTTACTGTAGGGCTGACAGTATGATCTTGCCTACATTTCATAACTCGGATTTCAGAAAACATGATAAAGTTTAAAAATCCTTGTTACACATCTACATTTGTATTATAAATGGGATTTAAATGTTGAAGATGCAATTGTTTTTTTTTTTCACATGAATGAGTGAGATTCGGCCATCTCTCAGTACAGCATGCCAACTCTCACTGTTTCCTTATCATAACCCAAACAAAGGAGACTGCTGGGCTACGCTGACCTATTCACACACAGAGTGGGGCCTGACCCTTCTCCGAGTAAGATAGTTAGCTTGTTTCTCTTGGTAATCTGTTAACTATCTGACGCTTGTGCTTCTGTTGAATACCAATAAAAGCTTGATCATGAGAGTAAGCCAAAATAATATTAAGCAGAGTGTAACCCCTGATAGGAGGTTAAATGAACATAATTGAAATGTCAAGTTTAGGAGTGATGATAAATGTTTTGTTTTTTTAACCTAAATTACACTATCATTAGGAAATAAGGTATTATTATGTGATGTCCTAAACCTTCAAAAGTACTGATTGTGCATTTTTACATTATCATATGTTAAATGAACTAGTTCGTTGCTTGAGCAGATTCTTAGACTTTATCCATTAGAGATTTTTTAGATACCATGGTTTTATCCATTATGATGTTATCATATGACATTAGACTTCTTAAAGGTCAAAGACTACTATTCGAACCATGGGTCAAGTCTATTTATAACCTTGAAACTTTCCTAACAAATGAGTCTTATATACAAATCTCTTCATTTATGATAGAGGTTTACCTAAACTTTGGTTTAGTGTTCATGATTTCAGTAACAATAATTTATGATCAGTTACTTCTATATGAAGATGTTAAATTAACTGAATAGTTGAAGAATCTAGTTCTTTAAAAGTTATGAAGTGTATAAAAGTTATGAAAAATATCTCTACTTTGTGTTAGTCAATCTATCTCAATTCTCAATTACTGTTTATGTAATTAATATTTAACTCCTTCCTAGTAGGCAAATGATTATTTGCTGTCGTTTTTGCCCAGTTTTTATTCTGCCTCTACTTTAGAGTAAATCAGCTATCACTTTCTTACCTCCTTCTTTATTAAACAAAGAGAGCATCCCTTGCTCTTGGCTCATCATTGTTGTTGTTTTCATTATTTGCTAGATGAGCATTATAAGATGACACTTGTCCTACATGACCCTTAGATTTGATCACATTTTTGTTCTTCCCATACACACACACTCTCTCTCTCTCTCTCTCTCTCTCTCTCTCTCTCTCTCTCTCTCTCTCTCTCTCTCTCTCTCTCTCTCACTCATGGCCTCACTCCCATACACACACACACACACACACACACACACACACACACACACACACACACACACACACCTCTATTTCTTTCTTATCTCATGTTATAAAATAAACTGGCAGGGCAGAACTCGGGGCAGTTGCCTCGGGCTCTGCCACAGATTGCAATTTGGTTTACTTGTCTGCTTATTCTCTCTCTCTCTCTCTCTCTCTCTCTCTCTCTCTCTCTCTCTCTCTCTCTCTCTCTCTCTCTCTCTCTCTCTCTCTCTCTCTCTCTTGCTGCAGGAAATGGGTTTATTGATAAATATATTGATAAAATCCTTAACAGTTTACTAGATAGTTTTGTGGAGTGGGGGCGTTCTTTACCTACTTTATGGCTGTTAGCTGTAATGCTAATGGTTAGCATTTTCAATTTGGCGATTGTCAATTAAGAGCACAAGAAAAAGAAAAAGAAGAAGTTTGCTTTTTTGAACTACTGAAAATGTATGTTGTCTAATCATTTCCCTCTGAAAAACCAACAGCTAAAAGAAGCGCTACTCATGAGATGAAAATATTTAACCTTCTGGCCCCAACTTTATCAAGTGTTGGTTTTCTTGGATTGCTTATTCCAAATCAGAAACACCTTCCTGAAGGACTTACCTTGCCACTTGGACTGTTTTAACAACAGGCAGCAGTCTCAGGAGGCCCTCCTCTGATCTGATGTAGTTTTTAAGGTCAAACACATTCAGCTCCTCCTCTGAGGTCAGTAACACGAAGACCAGAGTGGCCCACTGAGCAGGTGAAAGGTTGGTTTTGTTCAGAATACCTGAGCTGAAGTAGTCCTGAATCTCTTCCACCAGAGAGTGATCATTCAGCTCATTCAGGCAGTGAAACAGATTGAGGCATCGGTCTGTGGAGTGGCAGGATTTTATATTCTCCTTTATGTGTTTAATGATTTCAGTTCTTGTTCTTTGGTGAGTTCTGTTGCTAGTCATTAGATGTTTCAACAGGGGCTGATTGTCCTCCATTGACAAGCCCAAAAGGAAGCGCAGAAAGATATCGAATTGCCCATTTTCACCCCACAAAGCCTTTTCCACTGCCTCTTTGTAAAGGATGAGCTCTGATGAGTCTCTGGACAGGAGTCGTCGTGAACTGGACGACTTCTTCACCAAGATGTTGGTGTTTTCATTGTGGAAAGTGACATAGACATACAATGCTGCAAAGAACTCCTGAACAGTCAGATGCACAAAGCAAAACATCTTCTCCTCACACAGAGACATCTCCTCGCTGAAGATTTGTGTGTAAATTCCTGAAAACATGGATGCCTGTGAGACATTGATGCCACTGAGGATCAGATCATTCTCGTAGAAGATCAGGTAGCCTTTCTCCAGTGCTTGGAAAGCCAGTTTACCCAACGCAAGGAGGCTCGTTCTCACACAGTTTGCATTTGATTCTTTTCTTCCAGGCAGCCTTTTCTTCATAACGTCTGCATGCAAAGAAAGGAAGCGGATGTACATTTGTGTGAGGGTCTTTGGTGTTTCTTTGTTGTCTTTCGTTGCCATTTTCTTCTCAAGAACTTTCGCCGCCATCCAGCAGAAGACCGGTATGTGGCACATGATGTAAAGACTCCTGCAGGATTTCACGTGTGCGATCACCTGGTTTGCTAAGTTCTTGTCACTAATTTTCTTCCTGAAGAACTCTTCTTTTTGTGAGTTGTTGAACCCTCGCACCTCAGTGACGCGGTCAATGCACTCCATTGGGATGTTAGTGGAAGCCACTGGTCGAGATGTGATCCAAACAAAGGCCAAAGGAAGCAGCCGTCCCCTGATCAGGTTGGTCAGAATCACAGCAATTGAGGTTGGCTCCATCACATCTGACAGTATTTCAGTTTTTTGGAAGTCCAAAGAAAGGCGAGTCTCATCAAAACCATCCAGGATGAAAAGCATTTTGTGTTTAGAGCAGTTGAAGATGTCGATACCTTTTATTTCAGGGAAAAACTTGTAAAGAAGATCTACAAAACTGACGGTAACCTTTCTCATCATGTTCAGATCTCTGAAAGGGAGCGGGAAAACAAAGTCTAGGTCTGTATTTGCTCTTTCTTCTGCCCAGTCTAGCATGAATTTATTGGTTGAGACGGTTTTTCCAATGCCAGCGACTCCTCTTGTGATTACTGTTCTTATGGGACGTTCGTCTCCAGGTGGAGGAACAAACAGGAGATTACAGTGGATGGATTTCTCCCTGTTTGCACATCGCTGTGATGCCTTCTCGATCTGCCTTACTTCGTGCTCTTTATTCACTTCACCACTTCCTCCTTCAGTGATGTACAGCTCTGTGTAAATCTGATTCAGAGGGGTCTTGTTTGCCTCTGTCATTAGCCCCTCTGCCAAGTGACTGAAATTCCTCTTCAGGGTTTCTTTAAGTTTCTGTTGACATTCTTTAATCTTATCTGATGGAGAGGGTGCAGAATTGTTGTTTGGGTCTTTGTGATACAGAGGAATGTCTTCAATTTCTCATAACAAAAAAAAGAGTACTCACGGTGGGGATGTTGAGAACCAAAGTCACATTTTCCATCTTCATGGAGCTCTTCTTTCAACTGATCATTTGGTCCTTCAAAGAAAATGAACAATCAGGAGATCTCCGAAAAACATTTGCTTGATAAATAAATGTGTATTTGCATTTTTGCCTATAGGAAATTGTGAATACTGGATTTTAAAAATCTGCTACTAATATTTTAGAAACCCAGTAGAGTGGAAGTAGTGTCACTTCCAGGTTGGCCTGCAATTATCGTATTGCTTTCAGGCCTTACTTGTCTACATTTTTTTGTCTAGGACCAACATTGAAGCTGTCCAATCACATTGAAGTGATTTCATATCTCCATATCTACAGTAAACGTGTGGGAATGTTCACAACATGTGATTTCCAGAGATAAAAGACTGTTCAAGTGACTTTAAACCAAATTTTACCATTTTTACCATTTAAACAAACAATTAAAGCAACACAGTTCCAAAGCTTCTCCAGAAAGTGGCTGAAAAGTGTCCAACGTAGATGAAAATAACTGTGTTTTTAAGATTCAATTCAGTTTATTTATATTGTGCCAAATCAAGACAAGATTTCATCTAAATTAGAATCCTTATAAAATAGGACTGAACGATGCAGAGGGGTGTACTCTGTTGTGCACTGGCTATCTCAACTTCAGGGTTCATTTCAAGATCCTGGTTCTGGTCTTTAGGGCCTTACATGGACAAGCACCATGTACTTACATTGGTGATCTTCTTAGTCCCTACACCCCCAGCAGGTCCCTGAGGTCCAGTGATCAAAGCCTACTGGTTGTGCAGCACCAGGCTAAAGACCAAAGGTGACAGATCATTTGCTGCTGTGGCCCCCAGACTCTGAAACTCTCTCCCCCTGAGCCTGAGATCAGTGGACTCAGTGGTCTCCTTTAAAAAGCAGCTGAAGACTCACTTGTTCATGCTGGCTTTTGTATGACCTTCTTCACCACTCTCTCTTTATTCTGCTCTCCCCACCTATTCCACCTTCCTCAGGATCCACTGATTTCCCTCTTTCCTATTCACTTTCTCTCTTTCGTAAAATTTTTTAATCACAATTGCCTATTTTTGCTCATTTTAAATATATTTTTAAACATTTTCTAAATGTTTTTTTATATTTTTACCTTTTTTGTTTTTGTGAAGCGCCTTGTGATTTTTATCTTGAGAGGCGCTAAAGAAATGATACTTTCTTCTTCTTCTTCTTTGAATGTGTGTCTCTCATCGGCTGAATAAGATCAACATACTACAGGAACAGCTCTCCTCACAGTCTTCACATATGCACCACACTCATTTTAAACAATGGTGTACCACAGGAGTGTGCCCTCGGTCCATTCTGCTTCTCTTTTTTACCCACGACTATTCTTCTATTCACGCCAGTTACATTAATGGGAAATTTGCTGATGACTCAACTGTCTAAAGATTGATTGAAAACAACAATTGATTGACCTATATAGGAAGGAATCATCTAAGGCAAAGGTGGGACATCAGTGTCAATAAACTGAACACATTCAAGTCTAAAATGATGATATCAGAGTGGACTGAGAGCTCCACCTTCCACATTAGGGCTGTTAAATTCAGCCTTGAGGGCAGGTGTCCAGCACGTTTTGGTTTTAACCCTCTCAGGCTCAAAATAAGTTTTGATAAAAGGACGAACAACTAAGTTCTTCAGGGGTACTTCTGAGTTAAAAACTGCTCATGAAATACGTATGTGGAGTAACCAGGTAGGTAGGTTTTAATATTGCAAATCTGCATGAGCCTCTGCACAGGTGATTCAACCACTGAGTTGAGTTGGACCACTAAAACGTGCCAACCCTTGAGGCCCAGAATTGAATAGCCCTGCCCTACATAAAGGGAGAAACCAAAAAGAGCTTCATGTTTTCAGAGTTCCATATCACCGCTGACCTCATCTGGTCTAGTAACATCTTTCACCAAGTGGGGAAAGCACAGCAAGGACTTTACTTCCTTAGTTATTAAATCAACCTCCACCAGAAGGTGCCCACCGACTTCTCCATCCCACTGAGGAGGCAGGAAGAACCTGCAGTGAGTGGTAAGGGCGGCATACCTTGAATTGTGGATACATTGATGTTGACGTTTTCAACGCAAGAACCAATTATGAAAGGAGAAACAACGCTGCAGCCACTCTGAGCTGTGATGCTGGGCTGGAAGTGGTGAATTGAAGCCTTCACTGAGGAAACCAGGTCTAAGGGGAAAAAAAACGTAAAACTCTGCATCAATGGTTTGTTAAAAATAAATCAAAGTGGGCATTTTTCATGGAAATTTTCCAATTAATGTGTTACAAAAGAAATGTTACATTTTTAAGCTTTTACCAGTCATTGTGAACAAAATACTTCATTACTTTCTGGTTTTACAACCTTTAAAACAAAATTCGTTATAGGTCATTTTCAAAAGGTCTTCATCTGTTTTCAGTTTTACTGTAGAATGCTCAAACAACTGTGATGAGTTTAATTTTGTTGTGTTTTAAAGCACAATGACAAAGGCTTTTTATCCCAACTATCATTGATTCAAAGATGTCATGAAAAGGAAGCAGCCATAACCGATTCTGTACCACTTATCTCCATTATTGGTTTAAAGTTTTTACATGACTTAGTGTATTGTTTTTTAGTTTTATTTAGTTATTTTTAGTTATTTATTTATTTTGAGAATAATTGTTTAGGTATCTTTTATTTCTAGAGATGATCTCAAAACTCCAGAGCTCAGTAGGGGTCAGGCGGGTAAATGTTTTTAGGTCAAGAGAACCCACAGGCTCCAAACAAAATCTATATTATTCTCACCTTTGAAACCTTGAAAGGCATTGTTTGTTTGACCAGCAACAGTCATTTGCTCCATATTTTCTTCAGCTCTTGCTTCTTTAGATCTCATTTGACGTGTCTCACCCTTGGTGTTTGTCACGTAGTTGGCAACACACGCTCACAGATTCACTTTCTGACATCAGAATACCTGAAAGAACAAAAACATTTCATTCAAACTGCTGCTACAAGAATGTTTAACCTGCAAGTGTAAAAAAACACAACATAAATGAAATTCTTACCTGCTTGGATTGTTTTTTAGCTGTCGTCTGCTTCACACAGACTGGCGTTTGCGTGTAAAAGACTTGTTTCCTCTCTGAGAGTTGATGAAAAAAACAGGAAGTTGTGCTTTTTGTCTACTTTGATGTTATGATAGAGCGATTCTGCAAACTACAGCACTTTCATTTACTACAAAACAATACCAAATTTTAAGAAAAAAATGCACTTAGTGTTGAATATACCTTGTTTTTTATTAGTGAATTTAAACTATTCAAACTGCCTAAAGAAAAGGAAGAACTGAAAAGAAAATCCTTTAACAAATTCAGTATTAAAATGACTTCATAAAGCTACGTGTTGTTAAATGCCACTTCACATCATGCTGTAGTTTCATTGATGAAGCACTAGGTGAAAGCAAAGACCAGGCTTTAGATAGTTGTCCTTCAATTTAATGGAACCCAAATAAAATTTCTTGCCTCAGCTTTTTTTGTGTGTAAATCTTTTCATCTTATAAAAACTTGGAAAAATAAAATTCTGGACTCAACTTGAACTTTAACACCTGTGACCTTTGACCTTTATAGGAATCCAAACCTTTAAAAATACGTGCAACACAATGACTTTTTTTCATTATAAAGTTAAGTTGTGTTTGCCGCTTTCCAACTTCAAATAAATGCACTTTTTACGCAGCTTTTGTAATATTGAACAATTATTTGTCGTTACTTTGTAATTAAACTACAAATTTAGCCACCTGACTTGTTTAGGACTTGAAAACTCAAAGGGCCCGGACTTGGCTTTAGACAACGTCATCAGACTTGCTTCAGAAGACTTACTTGTGACTTGCTGTTCAGTGAGTAGGTTAATCCAGTATTACTTTTGTGTGATGAAGTAGGTCGAACCTCACTCATTTTATTGTTGGTGTAAAATCAAGGTTCTCTGTCTGAGAGAAAACAAACTTTTATTTCCTGTTAGGTTAAAATTTCAACCACCTGAAATTAGAAGTTGTCAATCCAGTTTAAAACAAACAAATGTAAGTCTTATTCCTCTTCAGCTGACTTTTGTTTGGAGTGTTTAAGTAGAACTTATTCACATGCTTTATTGGGAACTATATCTCACATTATTGTTTTTTTTTTTGTGTGTGCAGGTGTTCTTTGTAGTGACACAGAGATGTTTCTAATTTACAGATGTACCCAACATTGACCTCTAGTGGACAAGCTAGAGAACAACCACATTTTATTTGAATGATCATGATGAAAACAGCATTAATTAAAGTCCAAACGCTCAGTGGTGTTTCCAGACTAACATTAGGCGAAGCAAGGCAGCATTTTAGTGTAGAACATATCATACACAGATGCAATTCAATGTGCCTTCCAATTAGCAAGAATAACAAGAACATTAAAATCAACATGATTCAAATTAATAAGAAGACAAAGTCAAAGGGTGAGCAGTTGTAGTGCAGTATATGCAGTATAAGAAATAGTCATTTAAAGGTTGATGAACACATAAAGGTTTTCAATTTTGATTTCAAAAAGTTGGAGCACATTTGAGGTCATGAGGAAGCTCTGTGTGCAGCATAGTAGCTAAAAGCAGCTTCACCCTGTTTGGTTCTGACCCGAGGTTCTACCGCTGACTGTTTCCTACGGATCTCAGAGCCCTGATGGGTGTATATACAGGATGGAGGTCCGGCATGTATTCTGGCCCCATGCAATTGAGGGATTTATGAACTAGTAGAAGCACTTTGAAATTGATTCTGTGGTTTACTGGTAATTCAATTCAGTTCAATTCAATTTTATTTATATAGCGCCAAATCACGACAAGAGTCATCTCAAGGCACTTCACATAATAAACATTCCAATTCAGGTCAGTTCATTAAGCCATTCCGAAAATATGTTTCCTATATAAGGAACCCGGCAAATTGCATCAAGTCACTGACTAGTGTCAGTGTCTTTACAGCAATCCTCATACTAAGCAAGCATATAGCGACAGTGGAGAGGAAAACTCCCTTTTAACAGGAAGAAACCTCCAGAGGATCCTGGCTCAGTATAAGCAGCCATCCACCACGACTCACTGGGGATCGAGAAGACAGAGCAGACACACACACACACACACACACACACACACACACACACACACACACACACACACACACACACACACACACACACACACACACACACACACACACACACACACACACACACACACACACAAACACACACACAAACACACACACACACACACACACACACACACACACACACACACACACACACACACCAAGCAATGTGTCCATGGTTACACCGTGATTGCTTAGTAAATATTTTATTTGGCGAGAGATAAACCAGGTAACCAGTGTAGAGATTTAAGAACAAGAGTGATGTGCTCGGTTCTCTTGGTTCTTGTTAAGACTTTAGTAGCGGCATTGGGCAGGGGTGGTGGGGCATATTTATTTGTTTTATTTATTTAACCAGATGAGTCGATTGAGAACTCATTCTCATTTACAACAACAATCTGACCAAGAGGCAGCTAGCGCACAGTTAGCTTTACACCAAACAAAAACAGATAAAATAAAAATATACAAGAAGTTCTCAATTAAAATATGTACAAGCAATCAAAACAGACTTAAAACATTCTTTAAGAACTCAGAAGTAGACACATTGATCAGAAACTATTGATTGCAATGAATTATTGAAGATAGAAAATGGAATGTAGGGAGTGAGTTTTAGTGATTTTTTGCAACTCATTCCAGTCGTTGGGAGAAACAAACTGGAATGAGGAGCGGCCAAAGGAAGTGCGAGCTTTGGGAATAATCATAGAGATTGGGTAACTAAAATTTAAATTGCGCTGGTTGTTGGAAGTGTTGAGTAATGAGCAAAGATATGACGGGGCTCTACCGATGATTGTTTTGTAAATATGAATTGAATATGTTAGGGGGAAAATGGCTCGGAGTCTTGCCATCCTAACAAAAACAAAGCATATTCTCTATTGTAAAGCTCTTCATACATTATATTGTACACTTCTCTTACCCTATCTGAGGTACTGTACTGAAGTGTGGGGAAATACATACAAGAGTAACTTACAAAGAATCAATTTAATTGATGAACACATAAAGGTTTTCAATTTTGATTTCAAAAAGTTCAATCAATTTGAACATAATCTTTTCAGAAATACATTAAAAAGCTGGTGTATCTCAGTGACAGGTATTAAAATATGGAATGGTCTAACAGTTGACATAAAGCAAAGGAAGAACATAAGCCAATTTAAAAGAAAATTCAAAGAACACATTTTTATTCACATAGAAATGAAGGGCAGTAAAAACCTAGAAAAGTTGATAAATTATTGATACTGTATAGATGAGTGCCTTGTTTTGTTGGACTGCAGTTGCAACAGTGACTGATGTATTTCTTTTTTCCTTTCCATGTTCTTTATTTATTTATTTTTAAATGTGTAAATTTGTTCAAATGAATGAATTGATACTCTTAGTTTAAATTGGATTTTTTTTCTCTTTTGAAACATTAAATATGTAAAGAGGGTAGGGCCTTCAATGTGAATACTTCAACCTACCTCCATTTCAAACAATGTTGATTGTTACAAATTATGTTATTTACTTTATATTTTTATTGTTAATGTTTGAAATAAAAACAAACAAACAAACAAATAGACTGATACCAATGTAACATCCTGCGGGAATGGAGTGATGGCCAGTTAACGAGTGAGTACAGATCACGATGATGAGTAGTGAATGGGGCACCAGTGACGAAATGGATTGCTGAGAGATAAATGACATCGAGTTTATGAAGAAGTTTTTGGGAAGCAGTCCTAAATGATGTCACCATAATCTAAGATAGGAAGGATTGTCGTTTTGACCAAGGTTTGCTTTGCAGAATGAGTAAAGGATGACCTGTTACGGAATAGAAACCCAATTCTTGACTTGACTTTAAAAAAGTAAGGAATTAATGTGAATGTCAAATGAAGGTGTGCAGTCAAGCCAGATACCTAAAAACTTATAGGGACTGACAAGTTGTAGTTCTGTAGTTTGTAACATTTTTGTAACAAAATAACACTATAAAAAAAGCACTTCAGATTTTAGAGCGTAATTGTTACAACGATTACAACACCTACAACAACAGCTTTTCAAGAAGTTTAAAAATATTGCTATTTTTCAAAAAATACTTTTTTATGTCAGTTTTAAGTATTTGTCTCAGCATTTCTTTTTAACTTCAGATAACACACTGATATGTTCTGGTTCCAAATCCCGCAGGAGTCTGGATAATCACAATAAACCAGTACAAGGATGGGGAAACCCTGGTCCTCAAGGGCTGCTATCCAGCATGTTTAGTTGTTCCTCTTTTCTAACTCTCTTAATCATCTGTTCAGCAGCTCATCATGCTCTGCAGAAGCCTGTTTATCATCTGCTGAATTAAATCACGTGTGTTGGATAAGGGAAACAACTAAAACATGCTGGATACCAGCCCTTGATGGACCAAGATTCCTCACCACGGCTGCAAGGGTCGAACTGGTCCACCCATATCAAAGCAATCGCACCAATGCTTCCCATCCAACCTTATGGAGGTTGAGATTTGCTGCAAAGAGGAGTGGGTGAAACTACCCAGAGACTGGTGTCTCAAGCCTGTGGCATCAACAAGACTCCAGGCTGTTATTGCTACCATAAACAAAGTATTGAGCAAAGGCTCTGAATACTTATGTACACAGGATTTTTTTATATATATTAGGACAAATCCCAAAATAACTTTTTCATGTTGTCATTATAGGGAGTTGTGTGTAGAAATATGAGGACAAAAATTATCCATTTTATTATTATTTTTATTCACTTCAGACCATTCAAACAAATTAAAATCAAATAGAAAATAAAATGTTCTTATTTAGAGGATTTTGAGATTCCTCTTTGATCCTTAAAGGGGAATAGGGAGAATCTCAAGGTTTTTCATTGCCTAATCCCTCAACATCTTTCCATTTCCAAAATCTAAATAAACATCTCTACACATACATCATAAACAAAATCAATAAGCAAAATTAGAATTTTCACATTAGCAAGAAATCATATAAACACTTATACTTTTACATCTTAAATAAAATCCTAAATCAAAATTCAAAATTAGATCTTATTGACT